TTGCATTTCTGGGCGGAAGGGTTTCCCTTTTTGGTATGGGCGCTAGTGTGACTGGAAAATGCTCGCTTGCCATGGCCCCGTATTGCATCTCAAACGACAGATGGGCATTTGGCGGGGCCAAATCGGCACGGAATTTATCCCAGGAACTAGCACGTCGTAACTCCGAGCGCTTCGCACGGCTACCGCGGTAACACGCTCCTTTGATAGGGCCGTTGCGATGTCCTACAAAGAACGTTGGCTACAGAGCCAAGTGCCGAACAGGGACGTTGTTCCGATGGCTAGCAACCTGGGAAGCCACAGGCTTAACGGCCTGCCCGAGTCCTCACTCCTGCTTTTGGGCACGGCTACATCATACATTGTACAGTAGTCTCGGCCACGGCTGCCCTGTGCCCCTGATACTGCGGGCAGCACATCTGCACCGGAAGGGGCGCTAAACCCCAGCTTTGGACGGTCCCTTGTGCTGCCCTGTTCTTTTTCCACTACCGGCGCGATCGCACTCGGCGACGCCGCGAGACGCGGAAGCATGCACGAATGCGGTATCGACAACGGCTGCTGGGCCGAGAGGCGAAGGCGTCGCTGCTTCATTACCGGATGAATGCTGCCCGAGATGAGTGATGCTACGCTACGACGTCCTCCAATGTTCTCGGACAATGACGTTGCCGCGGGATCTGGAAATGCGAAAGAGCAGCAGCAGGGTCACATCTCCGGATGCGAAATGCATGGCAGTGTTCCAAGCATTATGGAGCCCTACGGCCTGGTGTGCTCGTGCTCGTATTCTGTATTCGGGAAGAGGATTCTCCCTATGTACGCCACAATTAATCTAACAGGATGAAGCACCCCTGCTTTGGGGATTTTGCAGCAGCCAGGATACACGCTCCTACTATGTAGTGTCTACATACAACCCGACCATTCCCACAAAAGCTGAGTCGACCATTGTGGGTCTATTTGTGGGTCTTTTACTTAGTAATCCTTGTTAAAAAGTTACTGCCTTAGGCTTATCTTTTACATCTATGCTAAGGGTAGTACAAGTGCAGCAAAGGCGGTGTGTTAATGTGCATTATAAATAATATTTAAAATATTAAAATACAAATTTATTTAGAAATTATTAATTTCTAATGCACACTAAAATACAAAACGTAGCGAATTACAGAGTACTTATACTTATTTACTTTACTTTTCTATGCTAGCGGTTTTCCCTTGCCTAGCAGAAAATTCTGCCGACCTTGTTTTTTTTATTGTTTGTACTACTGTTAGCAGAGTACATTGAAAAGCCTAAGGCAAAAAATTCTGTGATGATTATTAAGTGAAAATGGACCCACAATGGTCGACTCGGCTTTTGTGGGAATGGTCGGGTTGTATGTAGACACTACTATGTAATACTCGTACAGAGCAGACCGGGGGACACGGGCCTTTGTTCCAGATGCATGGGTCTCGGGAAGGATCGCCAAGCACAGGCCTTCCTTTGTTCTGTCCTCCGCCGAGCCGCCCGCATTCCCCTCACTGTACGAGTACGTCGCACTGCGAGCAGTAGGCCATACTCGCTGCATCCGCCGTACAGTGCATACGTACTCCTATCAGCCCCAAGTGGAAAAAGCTCGGTACCGCCTTGTGGCGCCCCACAGGAATCAAGGCGCAATTTCACGATCTGGCTCCCACCGCTTCTTGCTGTTTCAATCTTCTTCTTGCCTGGCTTGCCGATGACGAGGCATCTCCTTTCACCCTCCTTGTCTCGGCTCCCGACTCGGCTCCCGACTCGGAGAAGGGAGGATCGAGACAATGCAATCTTGATTTTTCGATTTTTCGATTTGATTTACGATATCTGATTTGTCCATACCTTGCAAGTATGTAGGGTCTCATCGGCTCGCCCGAGTACGGCTGCCACATGGGAACTCGACCGGGCAGCTCTATGGTGACGTAAGATACATTTGGCTGGCACCGGACGAGTTTGCGTGCTTCCCGCCAAAATCGATGCACGGACAAGCGGGTGTGCCTGTGTTTACTGTCGCGGATTTGGCCAGCTGAACCAGCCGGCCGTCTGGCTCGTCGTATCCAACACCTTCCAGCGGCTGAGTTCATTCGTAATGGCTGTATTAAGATACGGAGTACATTAGGGAACCAGGACATGGGGTCTGCCATACACAGTAGTGGGGCCCCCCGCTACTCGTACCGCAAACTCTGCCGTGCAGGACTATTATTAGGGCGGTCACAGGGCACTCGCCTTAATCCAGTGCCTGTAGCTCGTACTTGGTTCCAGTAAGAACCTTGTTGCCATCGTCATGTTCGGCGACAAGGCTTCTTCTCATCTCCCTGAGACGTGTCTCAACGTCGTATTCCATCTCCTTCTCTTCTTCTCTTTTGTTTCTTCATCTTTCTGTTCGTCCATCTGTCTCTCCTCGGTTGCTTTCCCTCGTCGCCCCGTCGCTTTTTTCTTTTCTTTTTTACTTTTTCGCCTTGGCCAAAAATGCAACCGGCATCCTTGACGAAAACAGAAGGCAGCAAGCGAACCACAGTGGGGCCCTGTATTTTTCTTGGTACTATATTTGTTGAGAGAGCAACGGGAGACGCCCTAGCAGCCGCTGGCAACAACTGTGCATGGGTGCATGTGTCGGCTCTTAGTCAACGGATTAGAGGAAGCACACTCCATACGTATTCGTACTGCAACGCTTGCCACGGGATAAGGTGTTGCATCATGGCTGTTTGAGCCAGCGAAATTGACATGGCACATGAGCCAGTAGGTGCATGATTTCTTTTTCTGCCCCCTTTTTTTAAGGACCCCTTGTGTGCGATCCAGTCATGGTCCAGTCATGATCCTGACCGATCTGAGTGTGGGCTCTGTCCGCGACAATTAAGGTCCTGTGATGCATAATGACTAAAGTCAGAGTGGCAAGCGGGCAAGAAAGGAAGTAATCACAGCCAGGGTGTGGGTGGATGCGATACTGCAATTCTGGTACCCCGATCTCCCGGTGTTCTTTGTGCGGCCTCCAGTGAGTACGCACGCGGAGCAGATAAATTTTTTTTTTTTTTTTTGGCTGTTGCTACTCAGTAGTCTCCCGTTGAGTGTGGGCATCGCAGCGGAGGACGCGTTGGCTGTTTTCAGAGGGATCTGGGCGGTGCAAAGACCACTGTGGAGTGTAAGAATTGTACCGTTACGGAGTTGTTAGCTCTGTTATCCGCACTTCGTTCACGCCGAAGTTGAAAGGATGCTGTCCCAGTAAATCATAACGCACACTAACGAGAGCGACGATGGTGAAAATATCCACTTGGGCGATGAGTGAGCGATCGATTAATGGGGGGTACACAATGCAGATACATCACAGTACTGTCTTGGTGCAGTAAAAACGGGCAGTTTCATGTATCGGTCCGTACCAAAGTTTATTTTTTTTCAGCTGTGCTTGCAAGAATGTGGACGATCTACGGGGCGACTACTCGTAGTTAACATTTTTTTTATCTTGTACATACTCCGAACCCTACCAGCGCCAAGAACAGACACACACAGTACGAGTATGTGCACGCGAGTTGCTATTCCTCGTATGCATGTTACGGATACGACTACACGCAACCATGATATTCCCGGCCGGTGAAAGCGACAGCGCCCTGGACAGCTGCACTGCTGCCAGAAAACGGCAAATGATGTCTGTTTCGTGATTGCTGGGTCCTTTCAGGCCCGCGCAGTCCGAGGAGAAGGCAGCCCTGGACGCGGAATTCGCAAAGCCATGCCCAGAGAGCCCTTAATACATAGTATTCGTACTTCGTACCTCGTCCGGGTGATAGCAGCACACCCATGACGGGTCGTTCCCGCTTTGCCTGACAGGGCCTCCAGCCAGCCTGGGGAGGACGCTGCCAGGAGCTGCCCTGTCAGTGACGGCCCACCACAAGGGGGACTACTTGTACATTGCACGTACGGAGTACGTCGTAGTGATATTTTACGTTCACGCCCCTCCGCCCGGTCCACCGCTACTGCGGGCAGTATGATGTATGCATCAAAGCGAGCAACGCATAACGAGCAGAGCATCTGCCTCCCACCGTGCCTGCCTCCTCCTGGCCATTAGTGCCATCACCTGTATGGTACAGGTAACGCAAACGTATTACTTGCCGATGCCTCCTTCTCGAGGTAAAGATTTGTGCGGCTAAGAGACGCGCAAACAGAATACTAGCACGACACGGTGCATTCTCGGCTAGCGAGAACAGGAAGGAGCAAAAACGAGGAAACGGCAATCTGCTCTTAGCACAGTCCAAAACAGCAGGCGCTGTTTCCACAACGAGCAACTCGATCTTTGTCTTCGGCACTGGCCTCGAGAATCCACAGCCTTTGATGCGTACACCCCTAGCCAGTTCTGCGCTACCCTGTTCCGCCCGCGCACGCACACTAAAAAAACCCCTCCCCGTCCAGAACCAAGAAATAACAAGCAAAAAGGACCCCTGCTCTCTCATACTCAAACCCCATCCTTTGCTTCACCTGGCTTACTATGCACACCCCTTGACGCTCTTCCCTGGTGGCGGAATTGCTTCGGTTCATGGTAAGTGGGCTCTTACCCTTCTACGTAATACGATACGCTCTCTTTGCTTTCACCAGCAGATCGCACCGCCCAGCCCACAGGGCGATCCTGGTTCCAAGTCAAGCTGAAGGAAGGGGGGCCCTTGCCTCGGCCGTCCGCTTATTGTGCTATATCATAGTCTAATCTATTTCAAAGTTTCTGCACCCCATTATATATACATATCCTCACCCCCTCCAACCTTTTCTCTCATATTTCATTAGACTCGCATTCATAAGCGTTGTGTTTCCTCTCACATCTTCAGACAACTTTCAACTCTCTTATCTCTTCACCTATTCTCTCGCCTCGTGCAATCCACGATCCTTTGACGACTTTGGAGTTTATCTCTCTCTTGGCGACACAACTGCACCGCCTGTGTCTTCTGATCAAACCAATTGACTATTCTGCTATCATCTCTCATTTATATCTCTACCCTTCACCCGCAAACAAACATCCCACATTATCGCAATGCCTATGGTAAAGCGAAGAGGTCCCTGGTCCTCGTCCGAGGACCAGAGACTTGTCACCTTCATCAAGGATGATCCCACTCTAAACTGGGTGAACATCTCGATGCAGGTTGAGAGCCGGACGCCAAAGCAATGCCGCGAGCGTTACCACCAGAACCTCAAGAAGTCGCTGAACCACAGCCCGATCACCACCGCCGAGGGTGCACAGATCAATGCTTTTGTGCAGAAGCACGGCAAGCGGTGGGCTGACATTGCCCGTCAGCTCAACGGCCGCAGTGACAACGCTGTCAAGAACTGGTGGAACGGCAACCAAAACCGCATCAAGCGTGCTGAGCAACGGCGGAGAGCCACGGTCGACCCGTCTGCCCCCGGCGTTGGAAGTGCCATGTCCAGTCCCGCCAGCACACATGCACTCCCGCAGCCATGCCCGCAGCCATGCCCGCAGCTGCAGCTGCCACCCTTCGATCGTCCAACAACACACCGGCGGAACGTCAGCGGCACCATTCAGGACCTGGCCGATGCTGCCACTCTGCACAGACGGGACTACTACCACCAGTCGCAACCGTCACAGGCGTATGGTAGCGTCTACGCTGCTCGTGGCCGGGAGTCCTCTCCTCGGGAGCGTGAGCATGTACCCTACTACCAGTCAGAGCACCGTGTTCGTGAGCCACAGTTTGCACACTACGCTCCGGCCCAGCACACCACCATTCAGCACACCCCGGTTCAGCAGGCGTCAGCTCAACAGTACCCCACGCAGTATGCGCAGCCCTTCAACGGCTACCAGTATCCGCCTGGCCCGCCGTCAGCCGGCCTCGACTCTCTCTACCACCAGGCTCGCAGACCCTCCATCTACGCGGATTCGCCTGGTGCGGACTCGGTCGACCACGGCTCGGCACCGTCGCTGGTCTCTGACCACGGATCACCGTCTGTGCGTGGCTCGTCCTCGCACGCGTGGCCCTCACCTACGCTGGAGCTTCCGCCACTGCTCAACATCAACGGCAGCGTGAGCAAGAGCAATGCGCACTTGGCGAACTCGCCCCCATCGACTCAGTTCGCACTGCCTGATTATGATCGCCCCAGCTTTGAACGACCTAGCTCCGAACAGCCGACGTCCGCATCGGTCTACAGCTACTCGACCCCATCTCCTGATCGAACTGAGGAGGACTTCGAAAACTCCCCGGCCAGAACACACCAGCTGACAGCTTCTGCCGAAGAGGCTGCACAGGCTGCTGAGGTCATCATGAACCTTCCCAAAGGCGATGGGAAGAAGCGAGGCGGCCTGGGTGTGTCAGACCTGCTCAACTGAGCAGTAATGGCGCGCGCAAATTTTTCTTCGTCTTACTCATTTCTCTTTTACTCTTATTATTAATCACTGCCTCATGGTCTGACATAACCAAGAGGTCAGGCGTTGTTTACAATATCTCATGATAGCCGGCGTTGGCTCTTTTCGGGTTTATGGGAGAGGTGGCTGATACTAGACAGCTTTTGGGTACCGGTTTACAGTTGCCAGACATTGGCAAGGAAATGTTAAGGGGCTTCCGCATTTGGTCGTTTCGGGCTTGGTGTTTGGAGGAGTTTCTCTGCAAGATGCGTTTGCAATTTGGCGTTGACAAGGCCGGACTGGTGTCTGCTGCCTCTGATTGGATTTGTTTTTGTTTTAGACAACAAAGCTCACCAAATAGCGTACAGGGCGTAGGGTGTCATCCAGACGTTCAATACGACTCATCGTGCAATTACAATAAAAATCTTGAAATAATCTCTCATTTGTGCACTATTGTGACTACTAAACACTCTTGGGCATTGATTGCTATTTTGTGCGCAACTGTCCATTCGCATCCTACGCTTCACATGGCTCGCTTATCCTTCTGACCCTTTTATTGTTATCCCTTTGGTCTTAGTCGAACCGGTGATCATGGCGTGGATGCGAGACAAAATTCAGCCAGTAAGCAGCGGCAGATGAGAGGAGGAATTACGCTCGCCTCGCTTTTCGTATTGTTGCCGGCGAGCGTTTTAGGTCTCTTGGAAATGGGTACGGAGCATAGAGTAGTCGTCGCTTGCTTTCCGTTAGTGCATATGTATTTATGCGAACGCCGTTAGCGAACAACGTCTTACTCCATACTGTTCGTCATTGACTTGAGGCAACTAACAGCACAAAGCGGGATCGTCCCGTGCACAATATTACAGGCAACTAGACAACACAAGTTCGTATTCATCACAATGGTCACTGTAGCGCATACGAAGTCCAGCAGCGCCTGCCTGCTCGCCTAGGCAGCTTGCCTTGCCCCGGCCAACAAAGCGGACTTTCTCTCTTGCATGTGTCATCTTTCCTGTTCCTTCTTCTGTGCTGAACGTTTCGCAAAGCCGGGACCCACACTGTTCGGCGACCTCGCGATTATATATATAGTACGGAGTAGTTTGGCTGTCTTAAAAGGGGGAGGGGTGGTGTCTGTGTGCCATGTTGATGGTTTTCGGTGTGGCTGACCTGGCTGTGCTTTCGTGTACGCCCCTACCGCCAATATAAGCCGTAGTGGTCGAATGCAGCAAAGCGGGCGAGCACTAGCAAGGTCATGATAACAGCAGCAGGAAAGAAGGAAGGAAGGAGCAAGACACAAGCACGGACAAGCCCGCTCTGCACCACCTGCCGAAAATCCACCGCCAGTCGACGATCACGTCGGCTGGCATGGCTCCTATCCTTGGCCTTCACGGCAGCAGTCGTCTGCCTCGACATTGACTCTTGCCATCCCCGGTTCCGTCAGACATACAGGGCATCCCAGACCGACTGATGGCAATGTCTCCTATCTTCCTACTTGCATCCATACCTCAGAAACTCCTGTACACTGAATCAGAGCATCTTGCCCCAAACGTCTTCTCCACACGACAAGCATACGTGTGTATGTGGTGCCGCTCAATTTCCGATATGCGTACGTCGTAGATTTCTCGGCGTGATTTCTTTTTCGTTTGCGATCTGCAGTATTATGTGCCTCGCCGCTCCCTCCAGCCCACTGCCCAGAGCCGGCGCCAGCGCAACTGGTCGGCGAGGAGATTCAGGCTGTACAGATGTCCAGGCATGTCCCTGGTGCATCTGCACGTACGCCTGCCTATGCATGACGAGCCGTCCTCTGGCCCAAAGGAGCAAAGCTGAGGGGGGTTTTTGTAATTTGGGTCTGGCCCGACGCCTTCCCCCCCTGTACGCGAGGCGTGGACCAGTTTGCTTGCACTTGCCATGCACGCACGCGCCGCCAAGAACTTGGAAGAGCGGCAGGTTGTTGAGCTTTCCACCCCAACCCCTGCTTGGCTAGAACGACAACCTGCAAATACTTGCTCCATGCGTCCTAGTTGTCGGGACGTGTGAGATACTATTGAAACACTAATCCGTATCCCATCCGTACAGCGAGCATGAACCCCAGGAATATGGAGAGAATGGGGCAGGGAGGATGATGGAGTACTCGTAGGCTTTTTGATAACGGAGTGCCCGCACCCCTTTGCAAGTCTTGTACTCTCCATTCTGCAAGATCGACCGCCAGAATCCGTATCCCGTGCCACCGCCTCCATCCGGGAAGCTTCCTTCAGCCCGTGCACAAAAAGACCGAGCCAGACGAGCTGAACGCGATCGCTGCAAGAAGAAAAATAAAGGATGGCTGAAAGAAGGAGGGCGGGAGAGTTTGGTCAGAACGTCGATGCGAGCTAGTGCGCATTGACTCCAGCCTCCAGCAGAAAAGAACCGTGCCTTTTTTGCCGGTCAAAGATGCGCGCAGGGTGCGCAAATAACATGGCGATGCTGCTCGTATCTCACATCTCGCATCTCGCATCTAGCTCGCCCTCATTTAGACGCATGCATGCAACTCGGCCCAGGGGGTGGGTGTGAGGTGTGGAACTGCGAGATAACAGGCATCGTACGGCCAGGTATGTAAGCCCGCAAACGAGAAAGAAGGGGAAAACGGCGGATCGACACGCGATTTAACTTTCTTGTCGGGCGCTGGGACCCAGTGGCCGCCTGCTTGTTCGATCGCGGCAGCATTTTGCGATATTGTTCGACGCTTGCATGGAGAACCAGTCGTAGCAGCGTACCCGCAAAACGGGGCGTCTGACTGTTGTGCCGTAAAGGGGCATTCGACATGTCATATCCCCCACAACGGCTGGCCAATACTCCGTACTGTCCTACTGAGGAAGATCAGTTCGTTTCGTCTTCGAGACATTTGGTCCGATCCGCATTAGGCTGACTCTCTAGGCATGCGTAGCATCCCTCACTGAATAATGCAAAGGCCTCTTTCCAAGACACGGATATTAGGTGATAGTACAATGTCTCAGTGTCAGAAAAAGACAGTCAATGCAAAGAGACAATGAATGGTCTGAGTCGCCAGAAAATCCCTTTATTATGGTTCTCTTGCCGCCTGCATCGTATAACAATTGGTGCCCCCACATATTGTGATGTGATTCTGAAAGGGAAAGGCCTTGAAAATCATCAGCTTTCTCGTATAACTTGACAGTTGTGCACAAAGGCAGCTTCCCTTGGCTGCAGCCATTGAGCTCCGTTTTCATGGGTTGCCGTCTGTCTCAAGATTCCCATTGATTCTCGTTTGTGCCAGGACGCACCGACACAACAAGGCCCATGTCAGAAACCGATATAGGGCACGGATTACAGCTTGCTTTGTCTCCCGTCTTGACTAGCAGGATGTCCGGTTGATATTCCGCTTTGCATTTGTGCTCGGTTTCGTCTGCTAGTCATGGCCGTGTCTTTCCTTCGAGTCATGAGCTTTCATCCTCGACGTTTCTTGTCACCGCATAGCGCTACTGACATCTAGCATTCTCGCTTGGTCGTTCGAAGTCACGTTTCCCAGCATACATCTTCGGCTGTGATCAAGTGGAAAGAGCACTGAAGCATTGTGGCGATCCTTTGGGATTTTGAAGTGCAGTCGTCCCTGTGTATTTTGCACGGTGGCCTAGGTCTAACAACATGCGTATCTATTGAGACAATTGGACGGTGAGATCGAATCCGTCAAATACATTTTGTGAGCCAGTAATGCCGTTGTTGACTCCTCCCTAGCGGTCTGCTTGAACCCGCAAGTGCTTAGCTGATCTGGAAGGAACCGGAAGGGACGAAAACGGCGAGGAGTACGAAAACTGTTGTTTGCTGGTTGGCACAATCAACACTCTTGCTCCGAGCCAACTATTGCTGTCTAGCTCCAACATGTGCATCTCCTGAACTGTTGATATGCGTTTCACTCCAGCATGCTATAGAGCCTTCAACGACCAATGAGCTTCTGTGGTACAGAAACGATAGCTTGTGGGACGACGACGATGATGCCGGGCGAGTATTCGATCTCGAGACAAGACAGGGTAGCTGCCAGAGAATAGTCATCGTGTCTGTGTGGATGTTATGGACTCAAAAGCAATCGCTTCTCTTATCGAAGGTAAGAGGGTGTGCGAAGCATGGCATGGAAGCTGGAAGAAAACGGGAGAAGGGGAAGAAAGAATCAGTATAGCTGGCTGCAAAAGGAAATATGCCAAAAGGAAAACGTAAGAGGTCGCAGCTGCCGACTTTCCTGAAATAAGAACAAGTGCACCCCGAGCGGGAAGGAGCGATGCCAATGTCTAGCGGACTTCACGATTTCTGTCTTTATTAGTCTGAAACTGGGTGCGAAGCTGTTTCATCACGCTTCTCCCATGCTTTGTCGTTTTTGCAAACCTGCAGTGGCCACAGCGTTGCGTTGCTATCAAGGGTATACCACTAGTACCAAACAAAAGACAACGAAAGAACATTGACATGAAACTTGTCTCTGTCCAGCTGCCCTTGAAAATGAAACCCCAAAACCCCAACCAATGGCCCGATTCTCTCAAAACATGACGAGAAGCTAAAGAAGCCTTTTGGGTCCGATGCCAAAACAAATGAGATGATCCTGCTTTCCTGGATCCCGTATTCTACCACGACTCCAATGGACTCCGTTGTCCACAATATCCGTTCCTCCCAAAAAAATCAACGCTCAAACCAATGACCGAGTTTGTTCCTCATGCTTTAAGCAAGAGACCCACCACCATCTCTAGAGATATATGTCACCCCGTTCGCCTGTTATCCATCTGCGCCAAGCCAGATCGTAGGCATCTTCTAGGTCGGACACCCATCTTCGGGTATCAAATAGTCCACATGTCCATCTATTAAGCCAGAGCAGCTTTCGGAGGTCTGTCAGTCGCCCTGACCCTTCGCCGTAGAGCTCGTCAGTTCCATTGCCAGTATACCGCTTCATAGTGTAAGTACTATTGTTGGCGAGCCTGATCGCCGACTTTTCATAATCGGATTCGTCAACCGCGATCAGCTCAGCTGCTGCTTGTTTGCCCTCGGCATCTTTGGGCAACGCCCCTCTCAGGATTGATGCGGCGATGCGAGAACACATCTTGTAATTATAACGTGGAAGAGTGAGAAGCGGTGTGCCGGACCACAGAACGTCAGCCGCAGTCGTGTGCGCATTGCACTCGGGCGTGTCAAGAAAAATATCGCAGACACTGGCACGCGCAATGTGCAGATGCTTGGGAGCGACGTCTGTGAAAATGATGCGGCAGGCCACGCTTTCCCCAGCCCAAGTGAGCGCAGTTCTTCTCAGGTTGGCTTCGCCTGCTTCAGGAAACCGAAGTAGCCACAAGATGGCGTTTGGAACACCAGCTAGTATCCGCAGCCAGCTTCGGAACGTCGTAGGGTCGATCTAAGGTACATGTTAGTCAGCCAATGCCAAAGCAGCCACGCGGGCAGTCGTGCAGCCAAGAATCCGTACCTTGTAAAGCTGATTGAAGTTTCCCAAAATGACTGTATCATCAGATATGTTTGGAAACAGTTCTTTGCGCATCTTCCAACGTCGGCGTTGCTCATCCTGCCAGGTCATTGCTCGTTCGGACGCCTCGGCCGATTGCTTGTGGTCGCAGCAAAAGAACGTATCACGACAGTAGATAATGTTTTCCGAGTACACCCAGTTCTCTTGGCCGGCCTCAGCCTCGTCGCGGAAAACGTCACCGATGCTGACATTGCCTCGCCATGGTCGCAGTGTAGAGGGCGGAACAGCCGTGGTATCAGCAAGCAAGTAGTCGCACCATTCAGCACCGAGAGTACCAGCAAAGCCCATAAAGGCCATCTGGATGGGCGCCGGCCGGGCAGCAAAGATCTCGTTCCTTGCCCCGCGTGTGTATCCGTTCAAGTTGACAAGGATGTGTATGTTGTCCTGGAGGATCTGCTCGATCAGACGTTCGGGCGCCCAATTGGTCACATCGCGAAATACTGGTGCTTCCCTTTCGATTTGCTGGCGATGTATCGACCTGTCACTAGCAGTAGTTGCATAGCAAAAAGCCTTTGCTCTTGACGGGGTGTGAAATCCGAACACAGATTGCATACTTGTTGTCGCACTCTGTCAGTACCTCACATATGCAACCAAGAATCAGAGGCAAGAGCAGATCCACTTACAGGTGCGCCAAAGGATGGTTGTTGAAGTCAGAGGAGATGTAGCCGATATTCAGCTGGGGCTGTGGAGGGGAAGGTGGAGGGTAAACTGAGCCCGATAGCCAAGGCGAGCGCAGCGTTGAGCAGGAAATCCTGAGTGCATTCCGTTGAGAAATCAGACGAACGTCCTTGGCCGGAAGGGGGCAGGTGAACGTGTGAAAAGGAAGCACAGTTGGTGCTGCAGGAACCGTCAGGCTGGCTGGCAATCTCGGCCTCGCATAGTTGTTGGGCACCTCGACACCACGAACGTATCGGTCGTGGTACCAGCGTCGCATAACAACACGAGTGGCGCGCTCGATTAGCCGGAGCACTCGCGAGCCCTCTCCAGTCTGATTGGCCCATTTCTGTAGCTCTGTTGCAACTTCTGCCGAGTTGACGCCGTCGCCGCCACCTTCTCCAATGTCGAAGCCGCTATCCCTGCCGAGGACACCAGTCGCATCCTTCATCTGGCACGCGAGCATTGCAATGGCACTTTCGTGCAAGACACCCTTCCCCCAGCTAGATCCTTCCTCTAACTGACGGCTCACGATATCCACAACACGCTTGGTGAGGCCCAAGCCATGCCACGTCTGGCAGACATCTCGCAGCATGCCGTCGTCATCGACATGCCAGCGGTCGTAGCGACCGTTTTCAAGAAAAACGCCGCCCCGGCCTCTCCAGTCGCAGACTGAGTTTAAAGCTGTTGACAACCCACAGACAGCCTCGGAAAAGTCTGGGTTCGATATGACGGCGCGGCGGTAGTATGAAATCGCGTCCAAAATGCGTCCACGGTCTTTTACAGCATTCGCCAGATTCGTCAAGGCGATATCGAATGTGCCGTCGCACGCAACAGCTTGCTCGTACATCTTGATTGCAAGATCTATTTGTCCAACGTCTTTCAACAAACTGCCGAGATTGGTGTGGAGATGGACATGCTTTGGGTCAAGTCGGAGGCCATAGCTGTAATACGCAAAGGCCAGGGCCAAGCCGCTGCCAGGAGTGATGCCGGCAGGAATGGCCTGCTTTGTGGCTGGCTCCACGACTGATGACAGCTGCTGCTGTGGTTTCTGCCTCTGCGACTGCGAGTCCGACGGAATTGGAGTTTGCTGCACGCTTGCCAACAGGATGCCCACGTTATTTGCAGTTGAAGGGCTTTCCTGAAGCGACAACGACAGGTAGTACAGCGCCAGTATATCTGCAACTGCAGAGCCCTGGCCATTTGGCCCGGCGGGTGCATAACCAGTGCTTGCCATGCCGTCCTGAAGGATCTTGGCCATGGAGAGTAGGGCGTTGCTAGTTGTCGCGATGGCCGACTTCCGATGTTGGCTCTCTGGAATATAGCGAAGGCCAGGAAGCTGACCATGAGTAGAAGCGAAAACAAGGTGCGCCGTTAGCTTCGCCCTGTCTGGTGACAAGAGAGGGGGGCTTGCTGTTGATCGTGGAAAGTAGGAAAGGCTGCCTTGGGAGACGTCGGCAGGAGACAGGGTGGCGTGGACACGCTGTATCAGAGTCTGGATGCGCTGGAACCCCCGGCCGGTGCCGATAAGAACAGCCTCCTCGTATGCCTTGGATGCTGACGCAGTTTCCTTCATCGCATATAGAATATTTGCCTTGGTGTGAATCAGAATGAGCATCCGTCCATTGTCGTGTCCTGGCACTGCATAGCCACTCGAACCAAACCCGGGCTGTGTGTTGGTGTTGTCGGGCGAGCCCTGCGATGATGAGTCCCTGTCATCGTTATGGACAGATACTTTGTAGCCCGAAATTGGAGTTGTACCGGCAACTTCTGGACCCCCTCCACAGTTGGCACTGCTGCCACTATTTACGGACCCGATGGGCCTTTGTATGCGTAAAGAGTCCTGGACAAAGTCAATCATATCCACAGCCTCGTGGTTCCGCTGGTCAGCAGCAAGAAGGCTGGCCAAGTGTTCTGCTGGTTCGAGATAGCTGGGACGGGCATGAATGGCCTGATACCAGAACTTTTCCGCTTCGTCGCGACGGTCGAGACAGTAGAGCGTGGCGGCAATGTTAGACACGACCTCGACATGGCCAGGATTTAGAGACAAAATCCGATTGAACCATTCTAAAGCTTGCTCGAAATGATCTAGACCGTAGTGCAAACAACCGCCAAGCAGCATGCCGTCAGTCCACTTCCAATCGCTCTGCTCGCACAGACTTGACAGTAACTCCAACGTGGCTTTCGCTTGCGGGATGAGAGGAGGATGTGGAAAAAACATGTTCTGGACTGCTGCTTGGGCGCCGTGGATATTGGCTACAGACGGTTGGTAAATCCCGGCATCGTTAACTATCGCTGACGGATAATGAGCTGTACCGTGACGATGGTCGAGAAGTGATTGCCTTCCATGGGACATCTGAACTGCGGCCATGTGCGGTTCAGACACGAGGCCACACGCAGAAAATGCCTGCTGTTGCTGTTGTCGCTGCGAGGACTTTGAGTGCATAGATGTCTTCATCGGCGGTCGTAGACTTGGGAGAGGCCTGCCGTTGAGTGATTTCTTGGTATGGGTTAGGTGCACTAAGAGTTCGGCGTATGTCTTCTCTCCTTGCGCTAACACACGTTCTTTAAACTGCACGAGACCCTCGCCAGTTGCGGAAATGTTTACAGCGGCTGGAAGAGCAGAGGAAGGCGGTCCCATAGACAGCATTTGCAATGCTTGTATCGGAGAATGTAGCATTGCCGAGCTGTCCATGTTCATAGGTTGCTGACTTTGGCTCCGACCCGGAGCTTGCCTTTGAACGCCTTGGTGAAACTGGCCAGTATTATAGCTGGAGATTTGTGCTGAGTGGTAGCTAAACATGTTCGGTTGGCTGGAAGCCGTGATAGACGGTGCCATGTTGAGATTAGGCGCAGCGAGAGGAAACAACGGCTGGGTAGCCTGAGCAGTCTGCCTGTAGTTCGCATTGCATACCCCAATCTGCGGTATTGGGCTAAGGCTATTGTCGACATTGACAAGTTTGGTGAGCGGGAACCCATGCGTCTGGTAACTCTGCAACAATGCAGAGTCGGGCCAAATGGGCTGGGGATTGAAGCTGGTTGGATTGAAGGCTGTCGGTCCAGGTGATGCTTGATAAGATGGTGAAAAGACAGGCTGGGGAAACATGTTGCTACTGTCGTGGCCTCTCGGCTCATCGAAAAACGTAGACGCTTGTAGTAGAGCTCCCTGACATGCTGCCATATTGGGGACATTATTTAAGGTAGCCGCTACTTTTGCAGCTTCCGGGTTGATGGTTTCTGGGCCCATCCACGGTGCCCCAAAGCCAGAACGTGCTGCAGAAGCAGCGGCAGCGGCAGAAGTTGCAGCCCTCACACTTGTCAGTTGATATGGCCACACGTCGGTCTGTACCAAAGGCTGTCCCGCGACAACGTTTGATCTGGAGGGCAGGCCGGTGGTGGTGGCGGTGGCAGCGACGAGCTGCTGCATCTGCATCCTTCGAACAGGACCATTTTGTTGGACCACTGCGGTGGGAAAAATGACCGAGGGCACCGACAAGGCCATCTGCTTGAAAGGTGGCGGGCCCGTCGCCAGGCTGGACGGTGATCCATCGTACCCGGCATCGATGGTTCCATTTGGCGTTTTCCGGCGTAGTTGGTGTTCCTGAAATCGTTCGGCAAGGCTACGCCCGCTATTGATGTAAGGAAATGCGGCCCCGTTTGCACCGCCGCCAGCGCCAGGGGCTAGATTTGGGACGGGTCGACCGTTGTTTTGTAGATGGTGCTGCAGTTGCGAATGCGGAACCTGGCTGCCAAGCGAAACAGCCGTCGATTGCGAATTGCGAATCGGAAAGGCAACGGTTCGTTGTGGAGCAGCCACCGCAGCGGCCTGATGAAAAGATTGTGGCCTCACAGATCGACTTTGGGAGAGATAATACTGGTGTTGGGCCTGCTGCTGGAGTTGCTGCTGCTGCAGAGCGAAGATATATTCGGGCCTGAGGTGGACATGGTGAAAGTTGTCAAAATAGAGGGGCGAATGCCCCATCTGAGGGGACATCTGCACCAGTGGCTGCTGCATGTTGATAGTATGTTGAGATGGACGTTAGGGGAGGTTGATGGGTCCGTGTCGTGTAATGGGCGTATTAGTCGTTATCGTCGTGATTGTCGTCGCTGTCGTCGGTAAGGTCGAGGTCGAGGCGCCTCGACTCCAATTCGGGTCCAAGTCACAGCCCTAGCCGTATAGGCTGGGGGGAAGAAGGGGAAAGGAACAAGGCAGATGCATAAGAGAGAGGCAGATGTCGATATTGAGCCCTAAGAGGATCACGCAGAAGCGAAAATCCGTGGATGAGCCGTGCTGTCACGGGTTTGGAGGGAGTGAGAAAAAGAAGGAAGAGAACAGAGAGAACAAGCATCAGGTTTTCAAATCGATTTTCTGATGCTCATTCAGGTTCGACACACTCAGCCCGCTGTTTACAGAAAGAGTTAGCGGGACCACTAATGATTGTCGGGCCCGCTAAAAGGCACACTTAGGACCCTGGTAAAGAATCAGGCGGCGCAATTGACGGGAGACGCAGCCATGTATGTGCGTATGCATACGAGTTGATTGTTCTTGCGTTCGTCCAAAACAAGCAGGAACGGCCGAAGAAAAGCAGGAAAAAACAAAAGCAAAAAACAGCCAGTCTCGCATGGATCCCGATGGTAATTCTTTATTTGTCCTCTCTGCTTTGATGACGGGGTGGTTTTCTATCAGCTGTATTTCATGGCTTCCCTTCCTATTACTTTCACACTGTTTTTTTTTTTTTTTTTTTGGCGCGAGGCAGTGGTTTTACGTCTTTACAGCACTCTTACTACTGCTGACCGCCTGGAAAGGGACGGCCGGTGCTATGGTGGGGCGTGGTGGGGTGACGGGCGGAAGGAGGGACGGGGTGTACTCCGTAATAGCGAAAATGGGAATGGACGATCTGTCACTACTGCGTATTATAGGGTATACGTAGCAAGGAAGTAGTGACTCGGCAGCCAAGATATCAAAGCGAGCAGAAGAAGCCCTGTGTCTCTTGCATGTAGCATGCTCCTTCGCTTAGCCTTTTCAATGCCATCATTGCTTTACTATTTCACGGACCAAGAGCAATGATGCAAATCATGCTATTTGTAAAATAGCATAAGCTAACGTTTGCCCTTGTAGAGTGGGGGATGGGCCGTTTGAGAGCTGTTGAGATCGCGCTGAAAGCGGAGCAATGCCTAAGAAATCAGTGGGTTGGTTGACGGCTGCGCTAGGCACAGAAGGTGTACATCACTGCGCTAGGCCCTGCCGGTCGCCATCTCTTGTGTTCTGTTTTAGCGGTCGCTGTAGCGTATTAGCTCACTGAAAGGACGCCCTAAGGCCGCCGCTGGAGAAGTTCGGCGCAGGGGCTCGTATTCAACCGGCCAGGGTGGGGTGACTGCTGGAAAATAATGCATAGATTACGTATTCAACCGCTAAAATGTTTTGCGGGCAGCGGGCGCGCCTTTTTTCAGTGTCTACATACAACCCGACCATTCCCACAAAAGCTGAGCCGACCATTGTGGGTCTATTTTCACTTAATAATCATCCCAGAAAATTTTGCCTTAGGCTCGTCAATGTACTCTTAATAAAGGTAGTATAAAGGAATAAATTTTTCTGCTAGGCAGGGGAAAAAATCGCCGGCACGGAAAAATGTAAGTATGTCAAGCATTGGAATCCGCCACACTGTGGCCCTTCCGCCCCACTTGGCCGTACGGGCCTGTAATTGGTCAGCAGGCACAGAAGCGGGGTCTGACACTAGTTTAATACGGATCCCCAGAAGGGTCGCGATGTATCTATTTCTTCCTTAGTACACAACAGTCCTTCGCCCACACTAGACCCTATTCAGCCTCCTACTCCTCACAGTGCATCACGTTATATAACCGCCACGTATAGCCTCCTTTAACCTTTACAGGTTATAAGCCCGGCCCAAGAGGACCGGGAGAAGCTAAACAAATAAACCGAAAAGCCTTTACGATACGCTTCGTAAAGCACCTAGTGCTTTGGGCACTAATCTGACGGACGAAAGAGCCTTGTTAAGATTACCAAGGTTATATTTATAACCTCGCCTGGCTGGAACAGAACTCCCAGTGGCAGACTAAGCAAGAGCAGCAGACCTCTGATCGTTAAATTAGAATTAGACGCTAAGTCCGAATTAAGCATTGGAAGCAGCATTTACATGGCTAACGAAAATAGCATTTACGGGGCTAAGCTTAACGAAGACACTCTAAACAACGAAAACAACGTTGGTGGTAAAGAACCTAATTAGCAGTCACAAACCTTTGAATCTTTTTACGATCTAGAACCAAAACCCGAATCTTCTACCATGTTACAAGCTAGTGCAGCGGCGCCTAATCCGATTTAGGTCGACCCGATGTGCATTAAGCTGTTTATAAGCTACTGTTCGAAGCAAGTGCTAAGGCTTACCGGCGTAGCAGACTAGGACGAGTAGGAGAAGAATGTATTTAAAGGCCTTAGCCTGCTTAGGATTAACGACTTTACTACTATTAGGTAGATGCCTGCTAACAACCGTTAATTAATTAAATACGGCGTTACCCTATAAGTTAGCAACGGTCTACTTAAGCAGACTAAAGGAGACAACATTTAAGTTATTTATAAAACGCTTAAATAGCTTTTAAAACTATAGGAAGCTAATCTAGCCATTAATTATAGCATTAAATTTTAAACAATAATGCGCTAGTATAATAACAAAAAGATGAAGGACTTCTTTAGTAGAATTAAAGAAGTTATCCGCGACTATAATACCTACGTTAAACTACTTATAAGCAAGCAAAAAGCCGTAAATCTAGTAAGCTACGTTTATAGGAAGTTTCTTGCCTTAAACGTAAAACTACTAAACCTTTAGCAAAGCAAATAAATTTTTATAGCAGGTAATAAGATCTATATAGCAATAAAGCTTTTTATTACTAACTGCTATAAAGATTAGTTATTTACTACATTAAACGCTAAAGGCAGCAGCACTAGCAGCACTAGTAAGATTAAAACTAAAAACAAAATAACTAAGGAAAAAGATAGCAACTATAGCGCTAAGAGCTAAAAGACTAAGGCTTTTAGCAAGCACTAAGACGGCATAAAATGCGCGCACTATAATTATACTAAGCATACAATTATAGAATGCTAGAAGAAGAACCTAAAGCTTTGCCCTAAGTAAGCCTTTAAAGGCAAAACTAGCAATATAGTAAAGAAAGAACCCTCTAGCAAAGCAGTTAGCTTTATAACTACTGTCTAGTTTAAACCTATAAACAAAGTACTTACGTTTATACTAGCACTCGATTTTAGTGCAGTTATAATTACTAATAACCTATAAGAAGCAGTAAACGTAGACCCTTACTATAGGTTACACAATAGCATTGTTACTACGGATAATAATAGCTACGCACTAGATGCGCAAACGAATTATAAAGGCTTAGATTTATGCCTCTAACTAATAAAGGGCTATGCCTACTATGCCCTCTTCTATAACTTTTATAGTAGCTATACAAACGACTAGCTGTTTAATATAAGAGGTAATATTTATATTACTAACAACCTTAGTTAGTTTAAACCTAGTATAAAGCATACTACTACGATTATAATTTATACTAGTAGTAGCCTATAACGCCGCCCTAGGAAGGGGACTAACGCAGGCTATGCGCAAGCTGTACGCAGTATGCGCACAGCGTATTAGATGCACATCGTAAACTAGAAGCAGTGCTTATAGCGCAGGCTACAGCACGTGCTAGCGCACAGGCTAAGTAGAAACGGGGTTGCGCCTGTCCTGCGCACTTAGTGCGCCAGAGGTGCGCCTATAATAAAGAGCGCCTCCCGCACTCCCTTAGAGTGCAGAAGGCAAGAATTAGCTATTGAATATACGGCTGCTTCCTCCTGTTAAGAAGATACCTCCTTGCCTGCCTAACTTACCTGGCCTACCTAAGTACACCTTTAACATATAGTTACTTATTACTTAATATTATTATAAATATAAACTATAATATAAAAAGTAAAGTATATAATAAAAATATAAATAAACTTTTATTTATATATAAAAACTATATTTATATTTAAATACTTAAAACGTAAATAAAATATATACTAAATATAATTTATATTTTAGTTTTAATTTATATTTTAAGTTTTAACTACTTTTTAATAAAGTAATTACTATAAATAATAATAATAGTATAAGAATATATTTATATTTAAAAAAATTCTTAAGTAATTTTTATATTTTAAAAATATAATTAATATATATTATATAAAATATTTATATAGTATATATATAAAAACAAGTTTATATTTAAAATTTAAACATTATTTATAACATATATAATATTAGTAATAGTATATTTATTTATATTCTATACAAATAATAAGTATAAAATTTTAGTTACTGTCAAGCATTGGAATCCGCCACACTGTGGCCCTTCCGCCCCACTTGGCCGTACTGGCCTGTAATTGGTCAGAAGGCACAAAAGCGGGGCCTGACACTAGTATTAATACGGATCCCCAGAAGGGTCGCGATGTATCTATTTCTTCCTAAGTACACAACACTCTTTCGCCCACACTAGACCCTATTCAGCCTCCTGCTCCTCACAGTGCATCACGTTATATGACCGCTACGTATAGCCTCCTTTAACCTTCACAGTTACCTAGCAAAATATAGGTTATTATAGTAGGTACTTCTTAGCTATACTAATATACATACAAGCCTCTACTAAATAAGCAGGTTTAAGAACTAAACGCTATAGGTCGCATATATCTTTTTACCTTACGCCCACGCCCTACCAAGCACACCGCTTTTATAGTACTTGTACCACCCTTTAGTACAGTACAAGATGTAGAAGACGAGCCTAAGGCAGTTATTTTTTTGGCAAGGATTACTAATTGAAAAGACCCACAAATAGACCCACAATGGTCGGCTCAGCTTTTGTAGGAATGGTCGGGTTGTGTGTAGACACCTCTAGAATAGCTGCATCTTCTCCTCTACTCTCTTTAGTAATACAACCAACCCTTTATGCTAAGTAAGCACGAATCTGATACGTGATGTATCTAGCTAGAAAGGAGTACATGGCGCGCCTTCACTGGTGCAGAGATTTCACTAGGGCTAGTCCCCAGTGAAATCTGTCTGACCAATGAGAGGCCGCTTTGCTGACATTAGTCAGAACGATCACAGTGCGCTCCATTCTAGAGCTTCACACCTTCTTACAAGGCTTCATTGGCCACATAGTCATTGGAACTATAGCTGGGAACTCCCTATTTACTCTCAACCTTGGCATAGTACTTTCTCATAATGCGCATGGCAGAGATGCCTGTAGTGTTGCCGTGGTAGACCCGCTTCTACTTTCACGACAGCGCTTTTCCAAAACAAAGTTGTTTTCCACGTTCCACAAGTAAAGAGGCATTGCTTTCTTTGATTACGAGGCCACCCAGTTGACGCCAGGTATAACCCTGCTACAAAACAAGCGAAGATAGGATTCCCTAATACCCCAAGAAGTAGTGAATGCACACCAAGTCGACACAAAACCTCTGCATATAGTCAAGAAAGAGAGGGATATATGAAAATATTGCATGGGCAAAACCAGCACGGCGGAGATGAGACACTGGATCTTTGTTACTACTGCAGAACCTGCCGAGGTAGTGCCTCAACCAACTCTGCATTATTGACCTGGCTGTGTCAAACATCTCTGCAGTGAGCTGGACAAGCATGTGGCTCTTCACCTTCCGGGGTCCCTCCGGCTTTGCAATCGTACAGCGTTCTATCCACTGGAAAGTATAAGGGAGACCGCGTTCAGTGCCGCAAAGCTCATCGGGAAGTGACCCAGGTATAGAGCCACTGTCAAGCAGTTGGCTCTCAACTCCATTTCCCCGTGTACATATGACGGCATGCAGAAGAGGGGTCGTTCTTTATCGGCTCAGACGTCGAGCGACGCACTGACGATATCGGTGAGAACGAGTTCTGACAGTTCTGTACGGTGGGTCATTGAAAAGATGCGCGGTCTGTTTCGTCAACATGAGCCAAAAAAAGCAGTGACGCTTTGAGACTTGCTTGCAGGCGAGGCGCCTAAACTTGATGCTTGTCACCAACCCTCTCTACACGAGGCCGATCGCGCGCAGATTCTGTTTGCTGACGAAGCCCATCATTTCTCGAGCAGTGGACAACGTAGTGACCTCTCTGAAATATGCTGCAAAGTACGACTTAGCCGGAGTATTTTTCTTTCAACATGCACTCGTGCGACTTTGGTGAATTGCGGACATGTCTCCGCTAAAGGCCGATGTATGTACTCAATACACAAGGGATCGTGCATGAGTTCGGATGTGCAAGGCCGAGCTCTCTACCGAGTACTTTCTGGCTTATCACCCAAATACTTATATTCGACGAGGTCCTAGCAAGAACATGTAGTGCCATAAGGCTTGCCGACTAGAAATTTAACGTAGATGTGAGAGGCCCAGTCTACTCCGAATCTCAGATTGGAGTTATCTCGTATTGTGGGCCCAGCAGAAACCCCCACTAACACTAACAAGTGGGAAGCGCTCACCTTGCTTTCCTCCGCACAACGCTGAGCCTCTGTGCGTTAGTATTATACTCCGTAAACCTTGAAAACAAGAATTCAGGGTCATCGCTGACGAGCTTTCTTTCAATTGGCCATCTCCTTCGCAATGCCCGCCAACGCATTTCGTCACTGCAGCTGGTAATGCTGGTGCCTGAACGATCGGAAGGCGGTGACGGGCGGCAGATTATGTTTTGCGGCTGCCTGGTGGGTAGAGCCACTCATCACATGACGCGTTATGCCGTATTGGGAAAGGCAATGCGTAACGGCGGGCTCTATCGCTTTGCTGTTCACCTACGAATATTCCGCAGTGCTGAACCCTATTATCCCTCCCACCTCTATCACCGCCATACGCACCCCCATCATCACCACTCGCGGCAAAGCGTCTCGAGCTGTTTTTGTGTGCACCGCGTGATCGCTCACGTTTTCTACATCAGACATCCTAGCCTGCTGGGAGCTAATTCGCCGAATCCTCCCACCGACAAAGGAAGGATATCCCCCACCGCTTCTCCTTTTTTGGACTTGTATCCGCCACTGGTACCCAACCTACCAAATCGAAGAGCTCTCTGCTTGCCATCACACATCCGTCGGACGTGTTTACTGCCTCCGAGTGCTGTCGCATCTACGACGCCAGCAGCGTCTCGTACTCTCGCTGGCTTTCTGCTGTTTCCATCGAACCCGCCACGATGACGGGGGCAAGCTTGGCCACGCCGGGCGGTATCTCGGATCCGGCCCTGATCCAGTGAGTAGTCATTTCTTTCTTTGAAGTCTGCGCGTGTGGTTTCGTATTGTCGTTGTTCCGTTTCGCTAATCTGTGATATGCAGGCTTGTGAACAAGCTTCAGGATGTTTTTGTGACGATCAACGTCAACAACCCGATCGACCTTCCACAGATTGTTGTTGTCGGCAGCCAGTCGAGTGGAAAAAGCTCCGTCCTGGAAAACATTGTCGGTCGAGACTTGTAAGATTGTCCAGGCCAGAAGGAGAGAAAAGGAGGGATGGAGGTAGTGTTTTAGCAGTACTGACAGATGGCCCAAACAGCCTGCCGCGAGGCTCCGGCATTGTGACCCGACGACCGCTCGTTCTGCAGCTGATCAACCGGCCAGCACAATCGGGCACGAACGGGGTGTCGGAGGAGATTGCGAGCGGCACGGACAAGGCTGCCAACGCAGACGAATGGGGCGAGTTTCTCCACATTCCCGGACAGAAGTTTTACGACTTCCACCAGATCCGCGATGAGATCAACCGCGAGACCGAGGCTAAAGTAGGCCGAAATGCGGGCATCTCGGCGGCACCAATCAACCTGCGGGTGTACTCGCCCAACGTGCTCAACCTTACGCTGGTCGATCTTCCGGGCTTGACCAAGGTGCCGGTGGGCGACCAGCCGCGGGACATTGAGCGGCAGATCCGCGACATGGTGATGAAGTTCATCCAGAAGCCGAACGCAATCGTACTGGCGGTGACGGCGGCTAACCAGGATCTGGCCAACTCGGACGGCCTGAAGCTGGCACGCGAGGTCGACCCGGAGGGTCAGCGGACGATTGGTGTGCTGACCAAGGTCGATCTGATGGACGAGGGCACCGACGTGGTAGACATCCTGGCCGGGCGCATTATTCCGCTGCGGCTGGGGTATGTGCCGGTGGTTAACCGCGGACAGCGTGACATTGACAACAAGAAGCCGATCCTGATGTCGCTGGAGGCAGAGAAGAATTTTTTTGAGTCGCACAAGGCGTACCGCAACAAGAGCTCGTACTGCGGCACGCCGTATCTGGCGCGCAAGCTGAACCTGATCCTGCTGATGCACATCAAGCAGACGCTGCCGGACATCAAAGCGCGGATCGCTGGGTCGCTGCAGAAGTACTCGGCCGAGCTGGACAGCTTAGGGCCGTCGATCCTTGGCAACAGCGCGAACATGGTGCTGAACATCATTACGGAGTTTACCAACGAGTGGCGGACGGTGCTGGACGGCAACAACACGGAGCTGTCGAGCACGGAGCTGTCGGGCGGCGCGCGCATCAGCTTCGTGTTCCACGAGCTGTACTCGAACGGCATCAAAGCAATCGACCCGTTCGACCAGGTCAAGGACGTGGACATCCGCACGATTCTGTACAACTCGTCGGGCTCGTCGCCGGCGCTGTTTGTGGGGACGACGGCGTTTGAGCTGATTGTGAAACAGCAGATCAAGCGGCTGGAGGAGCCGAGTCTGAAGTGCATCTCGCTGGTGTACGACGAGCTGGTGCGCATCCTGACGCAGTCGCTGAGCAAGTCGATGTACCGGCGCTATCCAGGGCTGAAGGAGAAGATCCACCAAGTGGTCATCTCGTTCTTCAAGAAGGCCATGGAGCCGACGAACAAGCTGGTGCGGGACCTGGTGGCGATGGAGTCTTGCTACATCAACACGGGGCACCCGGACTTTCTGAACGGCCACCGGGCGATGGCGATTGTCAACGAGCGGCACAACCCGCCGAAGCCGGTGCAGGTAGACCCGAAGACAGGCAAGCCGCTGCCGGCATCGGCAACACCGGTGCGGGCGGCCAGCCCGACGCTGGCGGCCGACGACAAGGAGAGCGGTTTCTTCGGCAGCTTCTTTGCGGCCAAGAACAAGAAGAAGGCGGCATCCATGGAGGCTCCACCGCCAACGCTCAAGGCCTCGGGCACGCTGTCGGAGCGGGAGAACATTGAGGTGGAGGTGATCAGTAAGTGAAGGGAGAAGAGAGAAAGGGGGAGAACCAGCTAACACGATGCAGAACTGCTGATCCAGTCGTACTATAGCATTGTGAGGCGGACGATGATCGACATGGTGCCAAAGGCCATTATGTTGAACCTTGTGCAGTAGGTTTTTCTATTTTTTCCCAATCCATCACCTTCTCTCTCCAACTAACCGGATAGATTCACAAAGGACGAGATGCAGCGCGAGCTGCTTGAAAACATGTACCGGACGGACGCGCTCGACGATCTGCTGAAGGAAAGCGACTACACGGTGCGCCGGAGAAAGGAGTGCCAGCAGATGGTGGACGCTCTGGGACGAGCAAACGAGGTCGTCTCGCAGGTCCAGTAGACGTTGCTGGCGTGCGGCATGTCTGCTGCTGTTCATGGCGGCAATCTATATTTCTTTCTCTTTTCCTCTCCTGCCCATGTTTGTCCTGTCTCTGTCGGGGCTTTTCTTGTCATTGTGATGTCACACGGCCGTGGAAAATAAACAAGATGTAATTTTCTGTCACAACAGCCTATCTCCCCTTTCTCTCTTTCTTTCCTCCTTGCTGCATATGTCATTCCCCATAGCTCGAATCTTTCGATTCTCCCGATTCTCCCGATTCTCCCACTCTTCCATACCACACGAAATCAAATAACGTTTTGCTGAGTAGCAGCAGCTTACAATCAGTGTCCGTTCAATGTACCCAGTCCGCATTTTATAGCCGCGCTTTATCGGTGCCTTTGAGCACAAAGCCGCCAGCCTCGTTGATGTCGTATTCAGTTCCCCGCGTCCAGCCTTGCCACCGCTTCAGGGCCTCTTCGCCGCCCTCGCCGGGCAGCAGTGCTTGGCCCTCGTAGCCTTCGCCATCGATGCCTGGGCCCTGGCCACGGCTGTTGCTGTTGCTGTTGCTGTTGCTGTTGTTGTCAGCAGCTTTGGCGGCGACGGCTAGAAGCGGCGTATCCTGCAGTGCCACGGGCGGTCTCTGATCGCTCTCGCGGCCGTGAGTAGCGGCGCCATTCTGGATTTCAGCGAAGCCGAGGACGGGCGTGCAGCAGGCGTCGGTCCCGTCAAACACGCCTTCCCAGTGGGCGCGCGGATGGCGGCGGAAGGCGGCGGTGAGGGCAGCACGCAAGGCGGGCCACTGTTCGGGGTCGAGACGTCGCAGTTTCCAGGCCTGGATGTCGGCGAGGGGCTCGAGGGCTGGATTGGCAGGACGGTCAGCGGTGAGGCCACGCAGCAGCTGGTCGAAGAAGCGCGGCTCGAGGGCGCCAACGGCGACGTAGCCGTTGGGGTTGGCGGGCGCGTCGGCGCAGGCGTAAGTGTCGTAGTAGGGGCAGCCCGAGTCGAGCAGGTTGTGGCCACGCGGACGGCAGCCGAGAGGTGTCTGTAGGCCGAAGCGCGCAAAGGTGGCCAGATAGGCGGCGCCATCAACCATGTTGGCCTCGACGACCTGACCGCGACCCGAAACCGAGCGGGTGGCCAGGGCCAGCAGAACGCCGAAGGCCAACATCAGGCCGCCACCGGCAAAGTCAGCTAGCAGGTTCGTCGGTGGCGTGGGCTTCGCGTCGGCGCGACCGAGAAGGCTGAGCACGCCCGAGACGGCGAGGTAGTTGATGTCGTGGCCGGCCATGTGGCGATAGCGACCGTCACGGCGGAAGCCGCTGAGGCGCGCGTAAATGAGACGCCGGTTGTCGGCCAGCAGCACGTCGGGACCCAATCCGAGACGCTCTAAAACGCCCGGCCGAAACGGATCAATCAGGACATCAGCACGACGGGCGAGGGTGCGCACGAGGGCGATGCCCCGAGCGTCCTTGAGGTCCACCGCGACGGATGCCTTGTGGCGGGTGAGGAGGTCTGACGGGACAGGCAGAGGCGATGACGGCGAAGCTGAAGACGAGACCGGAAGAGCACGGTCGATGCGCAGGACATCAGCGCCAGCATCAGCAAAGATGAGGCCAGCAAAGGGAGCTGTGATGTTAGGAGGAGGGAAAGACGAAAGCGACAGACGGAGACGTACCCGGAGCAAGGCCAGCAAGCTCAAGAACCCTGAGGCCGGCAAGCGGGGGGTCAGTCATGGCGAGGGTGAAGAGATGACAAGTGAGGGTCGAAGAAACGACGAGGTTGAAGCTGCAGCTGAGCTGAGCTGCAGCTACAGCGTACTGTTTGCGGGGTGGATTTGCGCTAGTAGGGAAGGCGCCGTCAGCAGCGGAGCCGAAGGACCTCGGCAAAGCGTACTATAGCAGCCACAGCAGCCACAGTTCTGGTTTAGTCTCCGCTGATCTTGGCATGGCGAAAGTACTTCATGCCGATCCAGGCGACGACGACCCAGACCCAGGCCATGACGCTGGTTAGGATCATGAGGGCCGGGTAGTAGCCGACGATGGGCAGGGTCGGATCATCCTCGAGCTCGGGCGGTGCGTAGGGCGTGGTCCCGACGTCCCAGGCCCAGCTCCAGACGCCCAGACAGGAGCCCATGCCGACGACGAAGACGACCCAGGTGGCGACCAGCATGACCCAGCCCCACCACTCAGTCTCGGCGTAGTCCCAGTCGGGGTCAGCCGACGACGGCGCCAGCGGCGTGGCCAGGTCTGTCAGCGAGAGCGGCGACTTGGCCCTGAGCTTGCTGCCGGGATGCATCGCCGTCATGGGCATCAGCATCGGCAGCGAGAGCGACCGGGGCAGCTGCTGCTTCCGCTGGTCCTCGTCCGTCGTCACGTAGGCCGTCGGTGACGATCGTCGCGTCAGGATGGTGGACATCGGCTTGGCCGGTCGCGGCCGCGGTGCTGCTGCTGGCGGAATGATCTGGTTTTTGGTACTGCTGCTGCTATTTCTGCTTCTGTGGCTGACGTAAGCATCACCATCTGTCGGCCCCGAGATGCCGAGACCGACGCTGGCAGACGGTCCCGAAGCCGCTCCACGGCCGAGTAGGGCGACCTTGCGCAGCGATCCTCGTCGGCGCCGTGTCTTGGAGACCAGTGGCAGCGGCTTCGACGCCAGAATGTTGTCGGGCAAGATGGGGTTCTGGAGCGGTCGAGGGAGCGGGTGCAGAAGCGGCGGCGGCTGGGTGGCGGCCATCGAAGCGGTCACGACGTGGCCGTCACAGTCACCTTCGCTGACGACGACACCGTCTTGGCTTCCCGTGCGGCGGGTCATCTGGTCAGAGGGCGCACAAATGGATAGCTGCTGGAAGCTGGTGATGGACAAGAGGATTTGAACCAGATTGATGTGAAAGGACGCTAGCTAGTACCTGTGGCGTTAGTGGCTTGCCCTGGAGTGTGGGGGAGAGCGAAAAGCCAAAGAAGAAGGAGCAAGATGAGCATTTAGCCGAAACAGCATTCATGTTTGCAGTTTGTATCTCAACACATTGTAGATGAAACGCTTCTCGATAGTGTCCACGACGACAGCGACGGCGATGTGCGCAGTTCTGTGGCTGCTGTCGCGGCCGTGCCAGGCGCAGTATCCGGACGCGCTCAACGGAGCCAAGCTGACGACGGTGCGGTCGCCGCAGGACGCAGCTATCAGCATTGCATACACGCGGCCTCTGGGGGCGTGCACGACAGCCTTGGACAGCCAGGAGCAGCTGGCCGGCTGGGTGACAGTGGCGGCCGACGCCGACCGCCCGTACGCGTCGCACACGTTCTTCTGGTTCGTGGGCGCGCGCGAGCCGACCGCCGCGCTGACCATGTATCTCAACGGCGGGCCCGGATCGAGCTCCCTGTTCGGGCTCTTTGCCGAGACGGGTCCGTGTGCCATCGTGGAGACGAGCGCGGCCGGTCTGGGCACGGTGGCGCGCGCGTGGGGATGGGACCGGGCGTCCAACATGCTCTTCGTCGACCAGCCGGCCCAGGTCGGGCTCTCGTTCGACGCGCTCGTCAACGGGACGCTGGATCGCTATAGCAACAACATCACGGTCGGAACCACGACCGACAGCAGCGATCCCATGCTGCTCAGAGGCACCTTTGCGTCGCAAGACCCCGGCCGCACGGCCAACACCACCGCGCTGGCCGCCCACGCCGTCTACCACCTGCTGCAGGCCTTTCTGGCCGAGTTTCCGCGCTACAGCCCGCCCAAAGGCTCCTCGCTGGGCGTCAACCTGTTTGCCGAGAGCTACGGCGGCCACTACGGGCCGGTGTTTGCGGCGCAGTGGCAGGCCGAGAATGCGAAGAGTGGTGGTCATGGTGGAAACAGTGAAAATAGCACCAACACAACCTCCACCTCCACCAATACAACCCTCCACATTCACCTCGCCGCTCTCGGTCTCATCAACGGCTGCGTCGATGACCTCATCCAGGGCCCGCACTACGCCGCCATGCTGGTCAACAACTCGTACGGCTTCCACGTCGTGCCGCCGCTGCAGGCAGCTCTCGTCAATGCCAGCTTCTATGCCAGCGGCGGCTGTGGCGACCAGATTGCCGCTTGTCGTGCTGCTGTTGCCCGCAGCGACCCCGACGACGACGGCAGCTCGGCTGCGGCCAACAGCGCCTGCGCACTCGCTCAGAACACGTGTGCCGCCCAGATGATCGACCCCTACGGCGCGGCCGGCCGCTCGGTCTACGACCTGGCCCACGCGCTGCCCGACAGCTTTCCGCCTGCCTACTACGTCGACTACCTCAACAGCGACGCGGTACAGAAGGCTCTCGGGGCGCCGCTCAATTTCACGGCCGCCAGTAGCGCCGTCTCTGCCGCCTTTGCCGCCACCGGCGATCTCGAGCGGGCCTCCGATACCATCACCGACTTGGCCGCCCTTTTGCAGGCTGGCGTTCGTGTCGGTCTCATCTACGGCGACCGCGACTACATCTGCAACTGGCTCGGCGGCGAGGCCGTCAGCTTAGCCGTCGCCCGCGCCGCCGCCGGCTCCTATGCCGACCGCTTTCCGCGTGCCGGCTACGCCCCCATCATCGTCAACGACTCCTACATTGGCGGCGCCGTCCGCCAGTTTGCCAACCTCAGCTTCAGCCGCATCTACCAGGCCGGCCACTTTGTGCCCGCCAGCCAGCCCGAGACCGCCTTCGAGGTCTTTGCCCGCATCATTTACGGCACCGACATCGGCACCGGCGAACCCGTCGATCTCGCCGTCTTTAATTCCTCCGGTCCTCTTCACGCGGCCAGCTCCCTCTCGCTGCCCTCCAGCCCAGCTCCCACCTGCTTTCTTGGCAACGCTCCCGACTCCTGCGCCGACGACCAGCTCGCCAGCCTTCATAGCCAAAGTGGCGTCGTCATCAACGGCATCTGGTATGCCGCCAAGAGCGATTGGCCCGGCCCTGCTTCCGGCCTCGTCGCTGCCGCTGACGCCTCCTCTCATCGAAACCCGTCCTCCTCTCCTGGTCACACCACCATGCTTCGCGGCTCCGCTACTGCTGACGCTGCCCGAGCCTCTCTCACCGGCATCTACACTGCCACTGCTACACCCGCCGCCGCCGAGCCCTTCTGCGCCCTCACACCGGCACCCTGGTCTGTCACCGCCCTGGCCCTTGCTGTCGGCCTCTTTTCCTGCCTCGGGGCGGAGCTTCTCACCCTGCGGCTGGTCTAGTCGCGATACGCCCTTATTTCTTTGGTTCACTTGCCTACGAATAGTAATGATGGGATGATGGAATAAACAATGAGGTATGAGAATGGTGGGATAATGGTGGGATAATGGTAGAATCAATGGTGTGATCTTAGGTGGAATGGTAATGATAGGATAATTATGCTACGACAACCAGCACGGACAACATACAAAAACACAAGACAAAGCAATGGCTATTCATTTTTTTAAGTTCTATTGCAACCTTGAAACTTACCTTTACACTAGACTCAGATATGTTATCGCGATCTAAGCGACTTATTGTTAGCTTAAACTCAACAATACAATGCAAGGACAATACAGCAGAACATGTGCTTTGGATCAGAATGGGTGCCCTGTCAAAGGCGTTTGTCATCAAGGCATAAAGCTATGTAGACCGTCGTGATATAAATTATGTTCATCATCAAAGCAGCTGCGGGTTGCACAAAAAGCACAAAAAGCACTTACACAATGCGAAAAGCCATCGCGTGGCTACAATTATTCGACGATATCAGGCCATCTAACGACTGAAAGTCCATGTTAGCACAGGTGTTGCCTAAAAGCTGAACAGTGATCCAACGACAAGGGTAAAGTGTGCAGCCAGCTCAGACAAGACATTTCTCTTCTTCGCTATTAAGCTCTGACATATGCTTGTCAATTGTTAAGTCAGATCATCATAGGAGGAGGCACGGCTGATTCGACACCTTGGAAGTATCTGCGGTGGGCATAATCGAGAAAGAGAATGAACAGTGATTGTACAAAAGAAAGTCGCTTACCCATTACAGCATATAGACCAGCTACAAATGTTATGCAACTATTGAAGACCTGTACAAGACAGTTAGCGTTTGCTAATATTGTAAAACTGTTCAAATTCGAAGTAGGGTCCGTGTCAGATTTGGCATGAATGGTAGAAATAATAGGTTGTCTGCATCGCTAACGCGGATAAGACTCGTCATCTGTGTATCATCACGTAGGATGTGTGGAGGAAGGCAGGCATAAGCAAGCATATGTACACCTACCATAAGTAGTACAGCAACTCGTTGCCTAGTGTCGCAATCTGTCAAATCAAGCCGTCACCTATACAGAGCACACGTTAGATCATATTCCAAAACTGAATACGATCTTCTACCACGCAATGTGCTGATGCTTCTTCTTTTGGATCAGTGGACGAGGTTTTCTAGGCCTGTCGCAGAAGTGGCATATCTGCTCATGCAATGTCGGAGCCCAGTGCCGTTTCATCATGCAAGCGTGAAGCCCAGAGAATGTGACAGGATAATATCCGTTTGTATAAGCCAAAGCGTACCTTTTAAATTCTATTGAACTTGTTAGACAAGACCAACAAGGGGACGAAAACAGTGTAATGAACAGTGAATGCATAGATCAGAAACAGCCAATTTTTTTCCACAACGACCAGATGGTCTCAGTCGGTAATTCCAACTTGCCGAAGCAAAGATGAATCATCATATGATGCAAGAAAAGGAGCGAAAAATTTAAAAAACGTACCATCTGCAGCCCATCCACAAACTACGACGTCGCCAACCTAAGCAATGCACACCAATCTTTTAAAACAGTTAGCTTGGTCCATTGAAACTGTAAGATGCTGGCTAGATGAAGCAGTATTCTGTTTGTTTGTATCTTTCTTTCAGACTGACGTGACAAATTCGTAGTTTCACTCCCGAAGGTCAAAGACTCTAGTTTGTATGCGGTATGCTTGTGTCATCAGGAAAGGGGGGGAAGGTGTTACGTGATAATTGAAGGCAGTGTAATCTTACCACTTGATTGATGTTGCAGCGCCGTGTCGCAATCCCATTGCGAACACAGCTGCCCTTAGCAGAATTTTTTGTCTGTTGGTATTAGAAGAAGAGAAGAGACGAAAAAAATTCTGAGCTCCGCGCTTTTTTGTCTCCACGGGTGGGGCCAATTCTTTTCTGGGCGGTGTGGGCCGTAAATTGTAAAGCCGGGCTTATGTCATGTGACTGAGCTCAGGTCACGAGACTACGCGCTTACTTCGCATAAGCAACACCGCCATCTGAGCTCTGAAGGCAGCAGCACATCTTGGGCAACGTGCCTGGAACTCGTATTTTCTGTATATCGTTATCTTTTACAACTGCCGACCTTTGCAGAAAAACGTTAAAAATGCCCGAGATTGCCGAAGGTCGCCCAGCCAATCCTGTGTAAACACAAGCTTCCGAACAGCTGCTGACATACCTCTGTAACCAGCTGCCCGGATCGTGCATTTTCTCCGCAAACACCTTGTCGGCAAACAGATCAAGAAGGCTGCAGCTATTGATGATAGCAATGTATTTGGAAAGGCTGGCACAACCGGTGCCACCTTTGCAGCCAGTGTGCTGGGAAAGAAAGTCCTGTCTGCCGGTAGCCAAGGCAAATACTTCTGGTGCGTGGTTGAATAAGATTCCATCACATCCATTCATTCGCGCGCGTACATGGCCCTCTTTGGTTCAAATTCTGACAGCTCCCTGCAGGATCGTGCTTGACAGCCAGCCGCATCCGGTTATGCACTTTGGCATGACAGGTAGGACACCGCTGAAAAAGCCGAATCATTCATCTTTGTAGCCTGTCTTGTCTGACATAATCTACCAGGATGGATTCACATCAAGGGAATGCGTACAGCGTACACTAATTACTACAACAAAATGAAGCCCGGCGATGCCGATCTTTGGCCGCCCAGATTCTGGAAATTCCATCTCCAGGCAGAAGCTGATGGCGCTGCTGACAAGGTTGAGCTCGCCTTCACGGACCCCCGGCGCTTTGGTCGCGTCCGCCTCATCGACTGCCCTGGCGACCGCATCCGCCAATTCTCCCCGCTGGTCGAGAACGGTCCAGACCCGGTCGTGGATGCCGACATCTTCACTGAGTCCTTTGTCCGCGACACCATGCAGCGCCGTCACGTGCCCATCAAGGCCCTGCTGCTCGACCAGGCCTTTATCAGCGGCATCGGCAACTGGGTCGGCGATGAGGTCCTTTTCCAGGCGCGCCTGCACCCAGAGCAGTATTGTGACGAATTTGATGGCGCTCAAGTCAAACAGCTGTATACATCCATCTGCCACGTGTGCCGCACCGCCGTCGATCTGCTCGGCGACTCGGACCGCTTCCCAGACGACTGGCTCTTCCACTATCGCTGGGGTAAGGGCAGCAAGGGCGCCGTCCCGCAGCTTCCGGGTGGCGAAAAGCTGTCCTTCCTCACTGTCGGCGGCCGGACGAGCTGCTTCGCGCCAAGCCTGCAAAAGAAGAGCGGCGGCGTGGCGCCAGGAATCAAGGAGGAACCAGTCGTCATCAAGGGAGATGGAGTAGAAAGAACTAAAACGAAGCAGGCGAAAGAGACCAAACAAGCGAAACAGGCCAAACAAGAGATCGAAATGCAGTCGGTAAAGCGGACAAGAATAAAGAAAGAAATTTCCTGGGCCAAAATAGAAAGTACAGCTGTCGCTGTTACGGTGGAAACTCGAAAACGAAAGCGCACTATGCTGAAAACCGAGCCAGAAGAATCAGAGGAGCCAGTCGTGGAGAAAAAGCTGCCAGCAGAGAAAAAAAGGAGGGCACAAGCAGCTGACTCTCGGCAGACACGAGCTAAAACCACGCAGGCGTTGCCAAACGCGAAACTCCCTTTGAATCCAGGCCGAAGACGTTCCGCCAGGCTCACTGGAAATTGACATTAACCGACAACCCGCACTTGTATATCTGATGGCATAGCTTCCAGTACCAGCTCAGCTCATATCTCGTTTATTCTTCTTATTCGGTGATGTATGATGTGTGATACAACCTCTTACTAGCACTGCGGTCTGTCGGAGTATTTGGATGAGGCGGAACGGTGATGTGGCGAAGATTTCTCCATCCCTTATACTAGCTGAACGGCAGGTGTCTATGTATCCGTCGAGCTCATCAAACCCATGTCACATTGGAAACCTACTGCATAACGAAGCCCGCTAGAATTCGTATAATTATGTTGCCTGTCCAGCCCTGGATGTCTCTTCCTGTCACCGTTGTTTGAATTTTCTTCCCACCGAATGGGGATCACAGTCAGGAAGTTTTCGAAAGAAGTGCCATCTTTTCGAAAGTTGGTGATCTGTACCTGCGCCTCGAGGTTATGTACCAATGAATGATGTAAAAGCTGTCGCACATGTGGGTCGACATGGGTGTCCATGTGCGCGGTGGTTGATTCTGGCCTGCCCGATTTAAGCATCGGAGCGTTCTGGAGAAATCGGCAATTTCGGCCAAGCACTTCTTCCAGAAGGTATCCCGTTATCTTCAAAAACATATCGGAGGCGTAGACGATCGGTGCGTCTGGCAGGTCGAGGTCGCATACCACGATCGAGCAGGAGGCATCGACCCGTCCGAGCTGTACAACTGGATTGGGGCGAGTGACGACGAGGAACTGTTAAAAAAAGATGAATGTCAGTTGGAAAAGAGCCATGGGCTACCTTGGCATCATATAGAAAATCGAAGCTTACAAGAGAACAATAAACGCAAAATGCGAGGAATAACCTACCATGGTCTTCACAATGTCGAAACCACTACTGCTGTATATTCCTGAGTAGGAAAAGGGGTTGTACGAGGACCCAAATCTCCTGTTTGGACCCAACTGTAGCCTTTCATGCTGGCGTTGTCGAGCCGCTGCAGCGGGAACCAATGCTAAGCCTCTCGAGCCCGAATCCCTCGCCTCATTGCTATTGTCCACAGGGAAGGCATCCGATGTCTGTAATATAGAGCGGTCTAGTATGGAAGACATGATGGAATATATGTGGTGTGTCTGATGCGTGTCCGAGCCTTGTTAGCTCGAGGTTTTTTTCCAAGACAAATCAGATTGACAGGCAGCCATCTTTTATAGAGCTCTGTATAATAATTCCATATTCAAACGTAGCAGAGAATGCTGGAGGGATCGAGATGTGGCGTGCTACAACGAACAGGTTTGGAAATGCATAGCGAAAATCAGCCAGGAGCTGGCTCCAGAGCATACCTGTCATCCAAACACACAAGAGCCGATCTACGATAAAACTAGCGCTGCACTGTGATCACGAAGCTACTAGGAGATCTTGTGAGGAATGGGCAGCTTATGCTTTTGAGCACAGGCAGTTAGATTCGGCCGAGCAAAGACTAGAATACGATCACGGAGTTGGATATCTTTTATGAAGATAGTAGACGTAGCGTGTTACTACGTGGACAAAATGCTACTTCCTCACAAGTCTACAAAATAAGTGTAAGCCCAAGAAGCTAAAGCTACCGACAATACCTGGGTGCCATGACAGCAAGGATACCGAGAATTTGGCAAGAAGCTTTACTTCGGACATTTAGTAGCTGCAGTCAAAAAGAACTTGTCTTAGCTCGTATCTTACAAAGAGGTGCCGCTGACCGATCGTCCCGTCAAAGCCACGCGCCAGAGCGACAAGCTGGGGCTTGCCGATTGTGGTAGACCAATCATCTTTGTCTGATCTCGATGCCGACCAAGAGTTGCAGCGATCGGGCGTTTTGCGTCCAGAACGAAGACAGTTGGTGGTAGTTTAATTTTTGGCATGCCGTCCCGTCTCACTCGTCTTGCCCATGTCAAATAATTGATTTTACCGAGCCACCGCATACGACGTATGTGCTGCTTCTGGTACGTGACAAACTTGCTCGTCTGCGATCGTCTGCGATCGTTCGAAAGGAAACTAGGCTAGCAATCGGAAAAAGCTCTGAGATCTAAGCTGTCAAAGTCACGTGTGCGACATTTCGTCAATAGGTCGAGTCTTCAATTTGAAACCCGATTGATGCATACCCCACCTGAATCAATATATCAGAAACGCGTTTTCGACGCGTCGTCCCGTCTTGTTCATGACTTAAGACAACTTGGGGTTAAAGCCTAAGCAAAGCGCCTTCATTTGTTTTCGCACCACCAAAGTCAAGGAAAGAAAAAAAATACTCCGTACTCCGTCTATTTCTGTTGTCTCTGCCGGCCTCCACTTGGATTGCCCGGTTTTTACTGCTACTCGAGGCAGTTTCGCCAATCGCTCAAGAAGGGTTCTGGCAATGCTGAACAGAAGACGGCTGCTCGTGCAGCCTAATCGAAGGCGACGAGCTGCAGATGGATCAAGCGATTCCTTGCAACCCCCAATACCACCACCCGAGCTCGACGACCTGCCCCTCTACGAGCCGCCCACGCTGCCACTGGACGATGCTGCAGTTCGCTCTATGGCCGAGCTGGCCAATAACCGCGCACTAATGCGCATGTACGACGCGCAACTGAAGAAGTCAGCAGAGTATTTACGAGAGGCTGTTGGCAGTATCAACGATCTGTATACTGAGCGAAAGTCGGAGCTGCAGCGCATTTCAGACCGCCGACACGAGCGGGGCGCAGACCAACCGTCTAAGATTGAGACGGAGGTCATCAAGTCGGTAGACAAGCTGGCCACAGACGTGCCTCCGATGACCGTGGATATCGAGCGCTGTGCACGCTTGGTCATCGATATGCAGGCCGAACTCGAGGACGAACGCGAGGCGCTCATGTGGACGAACGAGCAGGTCTGCGCCCGCCAGCAGGAGGACCGACAGCGGGCTCGCCTGCAGGAGCAACGGCAGAACCAGCGGCAAGAGCGATTAGCAGCCGCCATCCAGCGGCGAGCTGCAGGAGCCGCAAGCGGCCTCAAAGGAGAATGGGAAGACGAAGAGGGTGGCTCGCAGCCGCTGGAGGAGGACGAGGACGACATCGACACCCAGGACGAGAAGTCGTGTCCGACAGCTGTGACCGATGTGCTGCGGCAGGCCCGAAAGAACCGAGCCGCCGAGTACGCACAGATGGATGCCTTCCGCAGGTATGGTCTTAACAACGACTACGTCACCTTCAAGCAGATTTGGCACGAAGCCATACACCCGGACGGCGACGCTTTTCTGCCTGACGCATCCGCCTGGTTCGACGCCGACGGGCAACCTGTGGAGTATGGGCCAGACGGTGTGGTGGGGGCTGGCGGCGATGACGATGACGACCTCATCGTGGCCCGGGAGGTCATCAGCTTCAAGTGTCCCCTGATGCTCAGGACAATGGTGGACCCCTACAAGAGCCGACTTTGCAGCCATACGTTCGAGAAGCAAGGAATCATGGAGTATCTGCAACAAGGCTCGAAAAAGTGCCCGCAGACTGGCTGTGACAAGGTAACGAGCCATCCCGGTTGCGAGGTTGCGAATTTTAAAGCCTCTCCCCCCTCTCTCCCCACTTTTCCATACTTTTCATGTCACTGACGATGACTCGCTTGCAGACCCTCTCCAAGGACGACCTGGTACCGGACAACGTAATGCGTCGCAGGATCGAACGTGCCGAGCAAATAGCACAGCGCAACGAAGCGGATGCCACGTCAGATGTGGAGGCCGAGGAGGTAAACGGTGGCGACGCTGCAGATGACGATTCAGAAGCAGGTGATCCGAGCGTGGTAGAGGGCCATGCTCGAGAGGTCAAGCGAGAGCGGTTTGCGCGGTTACAGCGATGATGAGGAGTCACATCGGCACCCGCACGTACGATTATCGCAGGACGGCATTATGAGAAGTGCGGCTAAAGGCCCCTCTTATTGCGAAGACCGCCGGACTCTGGTAGCTCCGCGCTCTCCGTGCCGTTCGCATTGCACCAGTTCATGGGTGATTGGCTCAGCAGGGCAAATGGCATGAGCCTGACCTTGCAATGCTTCTGTACCAGAGATACAGTGATACGGCGACCGAGCCGACGGCAGCGATAACTGGCATCGGCGTGCCGTCGTCTGATCATGGAGGGTATACGAGTACGAGCAGGACGCTACCAGGGCCAGTCGAAATGCAGAGTTGCAAATGCACGGTCTGCAGTCAGACAGCTAAAATGGCGGCGTAGACGTTTAATATTCTGTGGAGTTGCTAGGTCGAGAATGACTAATCAAACCATCATCAACTATGTAGGTCACCACAAGCACGTGAAGATAAAAATACGAGTAGATCCAGATAAGCCAAACCCCCCCCAGTCACATTCTAAATTAATCCACTTCGCCCTCTTTGGCTGTAACTGTCTTCACATTTTGTGAAATTACATCGCAGCGGTCTATCGTCACCCTTTGATCGTGGCCCTCTCTTGTCTCTGCTCCACACCCTATCCGTTCTTTCCGCCTCCGTTGTCACCTCTACGCCGCTCGGCCAGAGGAAAAAGAGGATAGAGCGAAACACAAACGGGGGAAAATGCTGATCCTCGACTAAAGTGATAGGACGACTCGTCCCCCTTTAACCACGAGCGCTCTCGACCTCGCCTTCCACGTCACGCCTGTGCTCCAGTACCCCTCACAAAAACCGGCGCACGAAGCGCTTCAACCCTTTCGCACGACCGCACGACGAATCAGTCCTTCATACGCCATCACTTTGCGCCACGATCGGTCAGCGAACTCTGCCATCCGCAAATATACTGCCCAGTCTTGCTTAGACGACCACCCAGACGAGGATTTTTCTTCTTCTTTCGTCATAGCTTGTTGCTTTCAAACGGCGTATTTTCTTCCTTTCTTAAGAAGCAACAAGCTGCGCCGAACACCGCGCGAGCGCGAAGACGATTGGCAGAGTGCACGCGCACACTCGCACACACGCACACATTCTATATTTCCCATACTCAGACCTCAGCTGCAATCATGTGGTGGATTTTCCGGCTGCTCTTCAGCACCTGGTTTTTATTAAGCGTCGTGCTTTCTATACCCATCGCATTTGATGTCGGAGGCCGCGATGCCGGCCTGGCCTACAGCCTGGCCCTCTTTCTATACTACTTCGTCTACTCGTCTATAAAGATCGTGTTCAAGATAGCGACACCCCCGGAGGCGCGTCCCCTACGCCTAGCCGTCTCGGGCGTACTTCGGATGTCGCAATGGTTTGTCCTGCCAGGCCTGCTTATCTGGTCATTGAGTCGCTTCTCTGTCGATGCGGGAGGAACCGACTGGGTCGCAAAAACGGTTGCCCATGTTACCGGCTCGAATGGCGCTGCCACTGGCACAGGGCCGGACGGCCACAGCTTTGTGGGCTATGGCGAAGGCGCTCTCTTTAGCAGTAGGCCCGCGGGCACCAGCTTCTACGACTGGGTGCTCGGCCACGGCGGAGTGGTGGAGTCTGTTGCTCTCGGCCTCTGGGAAAAGTCACTGCGCTACTCTAGCCCCGTATTTCAACTGCTCGAAGGCTTCTGCAGTCTACTGGTCATCCAGGCGGCAGGTCAGATCACACGGTGGCTTGTCAATCGTGGAAGGAGTGACACCTACGTGGTAAGACAGCTTCCCCCTTACCTCGCTATATGCGCACATGCAAGCTGACACACTGCTTGCAGATAATACTTCTTGCTTTTTCGGGGTCGATCATTGCTAGCGCAGCACACTTCCTCTGGCGGGTAGTACGGTTCCCCCAGATCGACAACATCGATGCTACGTTGATCGGGGTGACCATCACATCTGCCGTCTTCCTCTCTGCATACGGCATCGGCAGCGGTCGCGGAAATCCCGTGGAGTCATCCCTGCTCTTTGCCTACATTGTCTTGTGCGTGTATCAGATCTTTACCGACTATCTGCCGTCATCGCCAGAGGCTGCAGCCCGTGCGGCAGCAGCGGCGCAGCAGCTGCCCACGCAGCCCGAGTTCCCACCCTTTCCCCCGATCATCATGGCCTCATATTCGACCCTAGTGTATCTGCTGAGCACACTGCCGAATGCGGTCAACTCCGCCCTCACCTTTTTCTATGCCGCCTTTCAGACGATTACACCGTCTGTCTTGGTGTCACTCACCTACCGCATCATCGTCTTTTACTGTGCCACTCGCATTATCCCGTCTGTACAGGAGTCGGGTGCGCGAGCACTCTCAAAGGAGCCAACACTGGAAGACTCAGATGCTGCAAGCAAGCTTCTTGGCTTCTTATCGTGGTTCTCGGCGTCCATACTCATCGCAGTATACACAAGCTTGCTGCTACAACACTTCCCCGTGTCTAATATGGGGCAAGAAGCCGGCTGGACACTCAGTGGTGGCAATGCTGGGGGCACAAGCTGGCGGTGGATCAACGCCGTGGGCGTCATGGTTCTCTACGCCTTTGAAATGTACCTGGGCGGCGATGATGAAAGCAGCCTGACGAATCACTGGAAGATGGACTAGACGGCACGGCGGAAGAGAAGAAACCCCCCGGCTATCAGCGCCAGAGACAGAGACAGAAGGGAGAGCCTCGCATCATCGACATGCGAGAGGAAAGCGCTGGGAAAATCCGTGTCCCGTGCATACCCCCCCTCCCTCCCTTTTGCATTGATCGATTCCCCTTATGCCCTTTTTACTCACTACATTTCCCTACAGGAAGAGATATCTGGGCCCTACACGAATCGGCCGAGACCCGCACCCGCACTGTTATACCCCATTGAACTGTTCTTTGCTTTTGCGCCTTGTATTTAGTGGGCTATGTTATACACGCACTTGGTCACGAGCGGGGTTGCCGGCGTACGATTAGGTGGTGAGCGGGAAATTCGAACAATAGACCTGGCATCCGACGAGGAACAGTAGAGGCTACGAGCACTACGATAGCGAGCGTAGCACCTACCTGACGAGCTTTTATGTTTTATATTAATGGATGCAACTGCGGAGTACAGATTGAAGATGTCGTCGGTGTTATTGATCTAGTATGTACGCATTGGCGGCAGAATGTGGTCTGGGCTTCATCGTGCGAATCGCGCGGTTCCATGTGGGAAACGCGTGCCACGAAAGAGGAGCGAGCGGCCCGCGACTGTGGCTGTGCAAATTCGCGTCCCCGGGCAACGTGGCTGAATAAAAATACGTACTTTGAGATATCCCGAAAAATGATTGGCTAGCACATGTCTGTCTTGGAAGCGGCTCAGTTTCTGGTCTGCTTGCGCTCAGCTATCACCCGTCGCCTTGCCTTCCTTTTCAGAGACAAGGCGCTCCCCCGAAAAAATCGCAAATCGCATCGCCAATCCCCTCTTCTCTCTGTTTTATTCTGCCCACCATCAGCACACCCCCTGGCTTCCCTCTCACATCATTGCCGACCTTTTCAAGCTATTATTGCTAACGAAGTTGCTGGTTTATTTGCCTTCTTCTTACTCCCCTTTCCTTGAATCCCTCCTCCTTTTATTATTTCGTTCTCCTGCTCCTCTTCGCGCTTCATGCATTATTCCTCGCTTGAATAGTAGACTCGATCCTTTTTTTCTCTAGCCATCGCGAAGAGGGTTAACCTTGCACTCTACCTTCGCGCAGGAACTCTTCTGTCCTTTGCTCTCGCCAAGCACGGGCTTGCTCTGTCGCATGAGCGGATCCCGACAAAAGTACGAAGTATAGCCCGCCGACAAACCGCATTTACTGCCTCTCTTCAGCAAATTACTATGGGTCTCCCGTAAGTATCAAGTTTCGGTTTTCTTGCTGCGCTGTCCGGGTTGCTCTTTACTTTGTGGTTGATCACCCGATAAGCCGGTGCCACTCGTCAACTCTTCTCTCGTTGCACCCAGAGGAGGTAGGCTCCAATTTTCGAGCACCTGTATCGGTCTCTTTGCTGACCGCGCTGGCTCTTTAGACTGTACGTTGCTCCGACCGAGGCCCAGCGGCGCCACAAAGCCAATTGTCGCCCTGCTTCGCCTCATGTCAACTCCTCCATCCTCCGCGCATACCGGCAATCCCCAAACACGTTGCGCGAGAGTCGCCGACGTCGCGTCTTGGCTACGGTGGCAGCTCATAACCTCAGTCAGTTTGAGCGACAACGCGAGCAGGATGAGGCTCACGAGCAAGAACGACGCCGCGAGCAGGGAATCATCGGTCTCCCCAACTGGCCTCCGGCAGACGCTGGGGAGCAGATCCTCCAGCAGTTCCTAGAACGCGCTCGACAGCCGGAGTTGACGCGAACACCTGGCACGCATATTAGTAGCAGCAGTGAAGTCCCTCCCAGATGGAGGCCTTCTTTTTTGTCAGAAGACGCATTGGGGGCGGCAGAACCGGAGGGTAACGCCGCTCGATCGCCTCGATCGCTTCCTCCCCCTCGTAACCATAGGCCCGCGAGTGACGATACTGTCTCGCCCAGCGACCTGTGGGGACCTCAGACCCAGGCAGCCTTTGGACAGGGACCCTCGAGTCCTTCCAACATACTATACGATATTTATCACAGTGCTACCGGCGCGAACGACGGCAATCTTGCCAGCTCTCGCTCGTATGGTCTTGATGGACAGGTGGATCACGCGTTTGACGACTTCCTTGGCGAAAGCAACGGCGACAACGGCGGGAACCTCGAATCGATTGGTCGTCGGCAGACGTTTAGCAGCCGCCTTATACGACACACCTCTTCTCTACGACGCTCACATGTGAGGAAATTATTTTCTCTGTTCTGACGGCAGTCGCAGCCCCATTTGCTAAAACCAAAACAGGAGTCTGCCCCAACGAGACGCTCTGTAGTGGGCTGGTCCGACCACGATCCGATAGGCCGACTACGCAGATCGTCTCCGGCGCGAAACTCTGCACGTGCCAATGCAAGCAACGGCAATGGGGATGCCGGCAACATTGATGGACACCAGGACAACAGCAGCAGCGCTGCCGCCAATCGCCGACGTGCCTGGGAAATACGATACTACGAGCCGCACCCGTTGCCGTCGATCCGGACGATTCTGGGCAACCAGGTTGACGGGCTTGGCGACCGCAGCCGGAGCCTTAGCCCTGAAGGCGATGGTGCTTGGGATACACTGCTGACGACGCTAACGCCCGACCCCCAACCGCCGAGCTTAGGTTCGTCGTTTGCCTCTACCACTGCGCCGGCACCAGCTGCAAGGACATCGTCGGCATCTCCAACAAATGGAGCGAGAACGGGCCCGCCTGCAATTTTTCCAAGAGAGCCCGTCCCAGCCGTGGTGTCGCCGCCTGCAGGTAGCTTCACATCTGGCGATTTGTCTAGCACGTCGGCCAACACGTCGCAAAGAGTCCGGTCTCCTTTTACCGTCGTGTCGGCATCGACCGATACGGCGGACGAATCTACCATTTTGCCCGAAACGACCGGACTGGACGGAGACCTGGCTTTCGCGCCAGACGTGGGTCAAGAGCCAGGATGCGAAGACTCGGAAATGGATGGCGAAGACCAGTACTTGGATATGACTCGGAATCATAGAACTCTCTTTTTCAATGGAAGGGGCGAATCGCAGCCTTGGGAGACGCGTGCCTTCGTGTCCTTTGCGGGCGGCCACGATATAGGCAACAGCAGTGGAGGCGATACAGGCAACATCAGCCGTGACCACAGCCACAGCCGTAGCCGTGGCCGTGGCCTCGCCAACGGCAACAATAGCAGCAACAATGGCGATGAATTGCTGGAGCGTCTTGGCATCAGCGGGATGCTGAACATTGTACGTAATCTGGCACGACGGGAAGACATCCCCGACGAGCTTTGGGCTGAAGCTGGACTCAGCCGGACACTTGGTCGGGGGACATCCAGCTGAAAGCATTTTCCGATTCCCCATCGGGCGTTTTGCAAAAAGTCCAAGCTTTGCTTGGCGGGCTTGGTGTTTGGGTCTGATTTTCTTGTTTTCTTTGCAATGTGGGTGTATCATCTTGCTATTGATGATCAATGTTAGGGTTTCCTAAATATGGGCTCAAGGCTATGGGCATATATGGCTGAACAGAAAGAGCCTGTGAGTTTGGACTTGGACAAAAATTGTATCCTTCAGTGTAGGAACGGGATTGAATACATTGTTAAGAGTGGAAACAACATGTGAGTCGTTGTCAAACCAGACTCGATAGAAAGACTGGACCGGATGAGGGTACAGATCCATAGGCGTTGTACTGCATATGGCTCGCACTGCTTATTCTTTGTCATACTCCTTACCGACGAGGGGAATGGGATGACAAGCACGCAAAGTGCGAAGAGCGACAGTTAGGGACAGAGGCATAGGCGACGGAAGTGGCAATAGACCCGTAATGGACATGGGATGTCCAGTAGCACTCAGCCATGTGGCGTGCAACTGTGCCATCTGGCCTTGCTCATGTGCTGCGGCACCACGAGAGGTATACGAGGCACAACCGGCACCATCGACACCTTTGAGGACCGAACGAATGCGATGCAGTGATCATATGAGAGCCCTGGTCATTTGCTCCTAGTGGCATCCCCACAGCATCCGTGTCGCATTTTTTCCGTTGCCATTTAGCGTTATGTCTGTGGTCTTTTAGATGCTGAACCTGAAACAGGTGAGCCCCTCCATTCGCAAGCCCGCTGTGCAGGGGGGTAGATACGATAAGCACTGGAGGACGGCAACACAGCTTCGGTTCCGGATTGAATTTTTCTGCAAATTGCGGGATGGAAAAAAAATTGCAAGCATTGCAGTGAGAGGAAGAAGGTAATGTGCAATACATGTTGCTGAGATTGCAATTTGGATAAGGCACGATTGCTCCTTCCGTTGTCTCCCTCCTTCCCTTTTCACTTAGTTTTCAGCTGCCCGCCTGCACTTGCTCGCCTTGTTAAACTAGCCAGTCGCATCGTCCAAGCGATCTATGTTTTTACAGCCCTCACTCCTCGTTTAAGACCATCCTCGCCGGCGCCATTGGCTACCTCCGGTTCGGTTTCTGTCCTCAGCCTTGACCCGCTTTCGCCATCGCTGCCACACCAAAGCACCGGGGCGCTCGTGGGAGTGGGAGGCCGGCCCTCCGCACCTGGCCCTGTTTCCCTCTTCCCTTTCTTGCCTCTGCACGACTCCCGCCTTTCTGGCCAACGAGCGGTCTGGCTTCGCTCATCACGGCCTGGTCTGCGTTTCCAACAGACGTCTTTTTTTATATTTTCCCTTTTACCTCGCATTGACGCAGCCCAACTTCGGCCCATGCCTGAACGGCCAAAGCACTACGCGGCCAAATAGGATGGTCTCCCTTGAAACGGCCACCCCGAATTGCCCCAATCGTTGCCAATGACGATCGATCTTGCTGCTGGCCTCTATCAGAACTGGGCAAGACAAAGGAACGCTTTGCGGAGGTATCCTCTTGCTGTCTCTCGTCCACTCCCCTTCGAATATCTCTTTTCCCCACTTTGAATCCTGCACGCCCATCCGCGCCGAGAAAACACGTTCCAAAGACGATCGAGCGCGCGACGCCCTACTTTTACCACCTCTGCTTCCCCTCGCCCGAAACGCACAACGCCGGTTGGCCTGTAACCCTACCCATTAGCAAAAGGGGAACAGCCAGCGCCAAGCCAGTCGGAGAGCCGGGAGACGGATTGGTGACAAGTCGAAGCTGCCTCCGTAGGCATTCAGCCCTGGCGCCGGGTTGGGCTACACATGGCGCCAGGAGGCAGCTCCTCCTCGGAGCAGCGTGCGTATCAGCACGTCCATGCCCGTGCCCACAGCCACTCGCAACCGCAGGCACAGACGCAGACACAGACTCAAACACAGACGCAGCCGCCGTCGCATCAGGCCACCAGCAGTGGCAGCAATTACCGGCAGCACCACCACAATGCCAGCGGCAGCGGCAGTGGCAGCGGCAGCAGCAGCGGCGGTTCACGGGCTATGGCAGCCAAAGTTATGCCTGGCACCCCGCGGAGATCGGAAGCCAGGGATGCTCAGTACAACAGCGGCAGCATCGGTGTCCCGCAGTCTACAGCATCGGCCCCGACACCTGCCTCTCGAAAATCCGCCTCGAGCAGCAACATGCGGGACCGATCCGGAGCACTGCAAGACCCTGGGCTGAAAGACTACGTGAGTGACTGCGGGGACCGGAGAGATTCTCTGCTTGTCTTGACAACCTAGGAAACAGCTAGCTGACAAGGCCAGCGTCTGGGTGACTGTATCGGCAAAGGTGCCTTCGGCTCCGTCTACAAGGCATTCAACTGGGGCACAGGTGAGGCCGTGGCGGTGAAGCAGATAAAGCTGACCAACGTGCCCAAGAGCGAGTTGCGCATGATCGAGGTACAGTGACCCTCCATCCCCACTCAGTAAGGCGAGCCTGACTAATGACGCAATCCTACCCAGGCCGAAATTGACCTGCTGAAGAACCTCCATGTACGTGTTGAAGAATACACCGGCGGGAGGGAGGACAGAAGCCGGTGTAGGCTGTGTTGACTAATCTGTGCGATATTCAGCACGACAACATTGTCAAGTACATTGGCTTCGTCAAGTCCACCGACTGTTTAAATATCATTCTCGAGTGCGTCTTCTCCGTATGGACTTTCCCCGAGGCTGCTTCCGCTTACACTGCAACTACCCTAGATACTGCGAAAACGGCTCCCTGCATTCAATATGCAAAGCTTACGGCAAGTTTCCCGAAAATCTCGTGGGCGTATACATGACGCAGGTGCTTCAGGGCCTGCAGTACCTACACGACCAGGGCGTCATTCACCGCGATATCAAGGGTGCCAATATTCTCACCACCAAGGATGGCACCGTCAAGCTGGCCGACTTTGGCGTCTCCACAAACACTCTCGGTGGTCCGGACAAGGAGGCCCAGGTAGTCGGTACACCCTACTGGATGGCACCGGAAATCATCCAGCTTTCTGGTGCTACCTCTGCTTCCGATATCTGGAGTGTAGGGTGTACTGTCATTGAGCTCTTGCAGGGTAAACCTCCGTACCATAACCTGGCTGCCATGCCGGCCCTCTTTGCCATAGTCAACGATGACCACCCACCGTTGCCAGAGGGCGTTTCTCCTGTAGGTGCTCCCCGCCTTGTTGCTCTCCTTATCTCTCAAGATATCTGACATGTATAGGCCGCCCGGGACTTCCTCATGCAGTGCTTTCAGAAAGACCCCAACCTGAGAGTCTCCGCCAAGAAACTGGGCAGACATCCATGGATCGTTGGTTGTCGGCGAAGCGACGCTCCTGTTTCAAAAAACCCAACAGAGGCAGTCGAAGAGGTTGTACGCTGGAACCGGGCTTTGGAATCCTCCGAGACGAACCTGCGGGCATCGACCGGTTCCGACAATAGTTCTGGCCCGCCACAGATGAGCCAGTTCGCCTCGAGGTTCTCCTCTGTTGAGCAGCAACGGGCGAATCGGCCGCTTTCTCTCAGCAAACCGAGACCAGGTGCGGACGTATTTGGCTCTCCGGAGCTTCCCGGTACGTCTCTCAGTTCTTACTATGTCTTGACGCTGCTACGAGTTCTAGCTGACAGCAATGCACCTTACAGACGAGGACAATTGGGACAATGACTTCGCCACGGCCATCTCGCCCAGCGCCTTGCAAAACCTCAAGCCCCAGGATAACTTTGGCGGGCTGCTCTCTAGCGACCGTTTGAAACAATTTGCATCTATCGACGAGTGCCGAAATTTGGTCAGCAGCTGGGATGACGACTTTACGGAAGGAGAACAGCTTATGACCATCAAGGTCCCAACAGGACAGCTGTCAGAGGTGGACTTCCAGGAGCAGACCATCCGCCCACTTCCAAGGCGATCAGACAAGGCGGCCGTCGCTGCGGCCATCGCTGCAGCCATGGCAAATAATGCCGCATCGCCACCAGCCAATTACTTAGCAGCATCACCAGCGTCCTCCACGGTCTTCAGCTCGCCGCCATCGGTATCCCCAAAGCCAATTCGTCGTCGTAGAACCAAATACGTGTCCTCGGGATCGCACGACCCCTTCTCTGCGCAGAGATCGCCCACCAAAGTTCAGTTTGGCAACAAATTTGAGCTTCCGTCTCGTCCTGAAATGGCCTACCAGGAACAGCCTGTGGAGGACTACTCGGACTTGCTCGCCGAAAGCGATCTTGTCTTCACGAACAACCGCCTCAACTTGGTTTTAAACGGTTCCGGGTCTTCGGAGGCACACTCTATTGGCCTCCTTCGGTCCTACAGCACACCCCAAGACTCACCTCAGCTGTTCCACCCGTCTGATCTCACAAGTCTTCCACGGTCTATGCTAGTTCCTCCTAGCGGTAGTATGCGGCGCCAACCACCAACGCGACCCTCTGTATTGCCGGACCGCCCTATGCGCCGGACACGATCTTCGGTGGAGATTGAGCGCTTTGCCGAAGGCGCTGGAGATGAAGACTTTTCTGATATATTTGGTCCCAGCGACGACCTCACCGAGAAGGAGGAGAGTGATCGTGGGTCCGACGATGGCGGTCTTATGCTATTGTCCAAGCTATCCCACAACTCGTGGCTGGGTGACGAGGAGGACGAGGATGATCCGTTTGCCTTTATGGACCCTGGCTGGGACGAGATGGATCTCGAGGCGAACATAGCCAGAGACCGTCATGCGCGTCTTGCCGAACGGGTCGAAGAGCTGGTCCGCTCACTCAAAATTGCCAAGAGTGAAGATGATCTGTCAGAACTTACGGAAGACCTTGTACGCCTGACTCCCATTTCCCCGATTAAAAGGCCTAATACTAATGTGACAAGCTCAATCTCCTGTGGGAAAATACGGAAGTCAAGGACTTGATTATCAGTGCACATGGCCTCTTGCCCATTTTGGAGATTCTTGAGCCTCGCACGGTTAAGAGCCGGCAGCACATGATTCTGCAATTGCTCAAGATTGTCAATGCGGTACGGCAAACGCGACTTCCCTAATTTTTGCGCACTGTTCCTAACATATGGCGACAGATCATTCTTGATGATGTAGAGCTTCAAGAGAACTTATGCTTCGTAGGTGGCATTCCTATCGTCACCAAATTTGCGGCTCGACAGTACTCGAACGAAATCCGGCTGGAAGCTGCCGCGTTTGTGCGGCAGATGTACCAGACATCGACCACAACCCTGCAGATGTTTGTCAGCGCAGGCGGGCTTAATGTTCTGGTTGAGTTCCTGGACGAGGATTACGATACATCGCGTGACCTTGTTCTGATTGGGGTCAACGGTATCTGGAACGTCTTTGAGCTGCAAGGGCCAACTCCCAAAAACGACTTCTGCCGCATCTTCTCACGAAGCAAGATCCTCGACCCCCTAGCTCTTGTGCTGCACAAAGTCTTGGACGAAGAGGACACAGCCATTTCGGAGCTGATCGAGGGCCGCATTGTCAACATATTTTATCTCTTCTCTCAGGCGGAGAACTACGTTAAGGAGGTTGTGGCAGACCGACAGGTGCTCAAGACAGTGCTGAAGGACTTGACACACATGTCTCCCAACCACCAGATCACGATGCTGAAGTTCATCAAGAACCTGTCCATGCTGTCGACAACGCTAGAGTCGCTTCACTCTGCCGATGCCATTGACTTCCTGATCGACGTGCTGAGCCACAGCATGAAAAAGGGCCAGCAACATTTCCGTGAGATCTCCAACCAGGTCCTCAATACCATGTTTAACCTGTGCCGTCTCAGTAAGGAACGGCAGGAGTATGCGGCTGTCAATGGTATCATTCCGCTTCTGCTCAAGATCATGCAGACGGAACGGCCACCAAAAGAGTTTGCACTTCCTATTCTATGCGACATGGCTCACTCGGGCAGCAAAGGCAGACGGTATCTGTGGCAAAACAAGGGCCTCGACTTCTACGTCTCTCTTTTGGGAGACCAGTACTGGCAGGTCACGGCTCTAGATGCCATCTTTATCTGGTAGGTGTCTGCTTGCCTGACTTTCGTATTCTTACCCATGGTGCATCTCAATTAACCGATTTAGGCTGCAGGAAGAGACGGCAAAGGTAGAGAGCCATCTCCTGGACGGAAGCCGGTTCCAAGAGGCCATTGTGGCATGTTTCAATACGACGAAAGCAAATGCGTTTGATTCGAACCTCCTCGAGCCATTGTTGAAAGCGCTTCGCCTCAGCCCGTCGCTGGCAGCGACTCTGGCCAAGGCAGAGATGTACTCGGGCATTGCGCAGAAACTGAACCACAAGAAGCCCGTGGTCCGGCTCAATCTCCTACGTCTAGTCCGGAACATCATGGACAACAGCAACGAAAGCATGGCTGGGACCGGACAAGGTGGCAGCAGCAACGCACATCTTGCCGTTTTGTTCGAAGCCATCCAGATGCTGGCCGAGAAAGACACAGCTGTGTTGGTGCGCAACCTGGCATCGGAGCTCGTGCGGACTCGCATCGAAGTCGAACACGACAGCACAGCAATCAGCGGAGTGTCGAGTACTGCAAGCTCATCGCGATCACGGTCGGGTCCGCATAGGCGCAACACCTTGTACACACCGCCCGGCCTCCAGTCGGCGACCTCAGCCCCGTTGACACCGACACATGGTGGCGCTCACCACCACCACAGCCACTACAATCAGCACCGCGCGCTGCCACGCCGCTCTCAGACGTCTCTATCGTCTTCGGACGTAACTTTCATCGAGGTGGCCGCCACACCGAAGCGCTCTGCGCTCGCCCCAACACACGAGCGGGAATCTCTCCTATACCGGCCCCGAAGCCAGGATGGAGGACCGGCTGGCTCGTCGATTCCACGACGTGTTAGCGGAGAGTCGAGCGGGAGCTCCAAAAGCAGTCTGAGCAGCGGCAGCAGCTTGTCCGCGTCTGGGGGCAGTGCAGGAGGCCAGGCTGTCGGAGCTATCAAACCACCACGACAGCTTGCAGGCCATGCTAGCCGAACAAGCTTGGGCCCTGCCATCATCAGCCGGTCCGAAAGCTCACTGCCAATTAAGGACACTGCCAATGGGCGGTATTCGGCAGCTGGCGGTTTGGGGCCGACATTAGTCCACGGGGCAGAGCGTATCGAAAGGCTAACGGCCCTGGGAAGCGGAATGGGAGGCGGAAGCAACAGCCGGTTTAGTCGAAGCACTGGAAACAGTGGCAGCGGCCATGGCAGAAGTGGTGGCAGTGGTGGCAGCGGCGGCAGCAGAGTCAGCAACCGGAGACGAACACGGCAGCCAAGTGTCGATGCCAAGTGGTCGTAGGGGCACTCTCGGCGGCGGCGGCAACGGAAGGCCGAGGGGCCAACCACGGCCGGTTGAGTGTGTGATGACGGACGATGACTACGCAATGCCTGATGACAGCGATGAACTGAAGCTATTCCCATAATCGGCCCAGTATTTCTATAGAGCCTAGAGCATTTTCAAGGCGTGGCGGATTCTTTGCTATCTTTTCGGCTGAGAGAGGAAAGAAAAGACGGGGGGAAGTGAAGACGGCGTTTCTTGGGTGGACTGTTTACTCCTTGATCTCTGTACCCTGCAGTCTGTTGATGGAATAGAAGTGATGCTAGCCAGGCGGAGTTTTGTGGCGAATGCGCACGTGTCAATTAAGCCTTACGCGCTATAAATGTTACAGTAGCAGCAGTGCATGCAAACGGCCTATAATGTGGAGTGAAAAGGGAATTCAAGGCAGTAGCGCCGGTATTCACGCTTTTGCGTATGTTCCGTAATATAAGAGTGAAATCAACAACATCCGTGTTGGTTCCTACATGCCGGGCTTGCGCTCTTTTTCTTCCCTTTGTTTTAATAGACCCTATTACTGTACCCTGCGTTTCTTCTCGGCAGCCATGGCCAATACAGCTCAGACCAAGCATGACAAGGACGCTGTCGCAGAGACAACCTCATCTGATTTAGCAGAGGCAACGGCAACGAAGAAGCGCAGGGACACAAACAATGCATGTGAGTCGGGCTCGATGGCGGTTGTCAAGATACAGGACTGACATTGTGGGCACTGACCCCAGTTTCTGAACTGATGAGGCCCAAGCGACCGAAGCTGGACACCCCTGCCAGTACTACCGGCCGTCACCACAATCGCTTCTTCGCTGGCAGTGACGGTCTCGGCGTCTACATTAGCGATCCGGCCGCGCACCTGATGGACGGCCCGGCTGCTACTGCAGACGGCGGATCAGCCAGCGGCAGCCGCGGTAGCCGCGTCATCTTCTTCACAGCCGACTTTGTGGCCATTCACGACTTGTACCCCAAGGCCACGGTACACTGTCTGCTGCTGCCGCGCGACCGACGCTTCAACCGACAGCACCCGCTGGAGGTTCTCAGCCGCCAGAGCGACGAGGCGGCCAGCCGGTTTCTTGCCGGCCTCCGGGCCGCGGCCGAGCAGCTGCGGACGATTGTGGCTGCTGAGCTGCGGCGACAGCTGGGAGCCGGGAGCGCACAGGACGCAGCGCGGGAGGCATTTATGAGAGGAGAGGGCATGGACGAGGACGGCGAGGGAGAAGTCGGGGGAGATCCGCCACCTGGCCGAGACTGGGCGGCCGAGGTCCTCGTCGGCGTGCACGCCCATCCCAGCATGAGCCACCTGCACGTACATGTGCTATCGCGAGATATGCACAGCGACCGGTTGCGCAACAGCTCGCACTACAACTCGTTCACAACGCCTTTTTTCGTACCGCTGGACGCCTTCCCGCTCGCGGCGTCGGACCCTCGACACAGTTCTGACTCTCTGCACCAGAGCATGGCGTGCTGGCGGTGCGGACGGCAGTTTGGCAACCGGTTCGCGGACCTCAAGCGGCACCTGGAACAGGAGTTCCAGGCATGGAAGCGCGAATGAGAGGTGTTGGCGCATAGCGCGAGTGTTTGCAGTGAGGTCACGCAGAATGATCTGCAATACTAATACAATGTGGCTACATGATGGGGAATCGTATGACAGGATCACCTCTACATCGTAGCAGTTGATTCTGCATGTGAGTGGCCCAGCCTCCGATCTGGGGACGAGTCAACTTGTGTAGTGTGGGGGGCCGAAAAGCAATAAGGAAAGGACTGCATCTTTGTACTTGCGCTCTCGCCGTCCAGTCCTTCAGTTCGCCCAGTCTGTGCTCCGGAGAGAAGCAGGTTGAGTCAGCATGACTGGTCAGGGATTGCGTGTCAGCTCGTATCGAGCCGCGTCACACAGGAGCTGTTCCTCCGTAGACAAGACACTCCCAACGAGCGAATCCTGCCAGGCTCGCTCGCCCTTTTGTCAGCTGCGCAAAGGAGCAGACCAATGGACAGGCGAGCAAAGCCGCTCCAGCTAGATCCATCAGATTAGCTGCAGGTCTTACTGCTTCCAATCCGGCCTGCTGGGTCCACACGAACGAAGCGTACTCTGTAGACATTGGCCGAACTGGCCGCTTGCCGTAGGATTGGAGAGCAGAGAGGCAGGCAGCAAGCAGGTCTGCGTCAGACTCTGTTTCGAAAAGGAGACAGCTCTAGCAGAGGCGAGCTTTGCCACCGGGGACAGCAAAGCAGGCAAGTCGGTGCTCGAGACGCGAAAGGGCCCGTCGTGCTCGAGCGGGTCAGCATCGTAAGATGCACGGTTCAGCCAAGGCCAAGATAGTCCCCTCATTGCGATGCAACGGTTGTACTGTTGAGACCCGGCACTTGCACCCAATAGCAGAGGCAGAAAGAGACCCTTGCTCTCCCCAAATGGCTGACCAACGGAGTAGGTAGTTGTAGGAGACGTCGACAAAGTGCGACAGACCCTGCAGAAGGGGCCTGCAGGAACAAAACAAGGTGTTGGCATCTCGAGATACGAGGCCTGCCGGCAATAGCAGGAGTTTGGTTCAGCCACAAGCCGCCCAAGGCTTCTGCACAGATTCCCAGCCCGAGTGGCGAAGTGCAGCTAAAAAGAAGCATTTGGTCCCAGCGTATGCAGGCCCGCCAGCGCACAGGCAGAAGCCCAGTCATTTGGGCGCTGTACGGAGTAACCTGCAGGAGGGTCCCGATTTAAAGAGGCAGCCTTTTGAAGGCCCCCGGCAAAAGCCCACCAAAACAGGAAAAAGCCAGAAATAGGCCTCCTTCACTGGAAAAAGGCCGGAAAAAAGGAGAGAAAAAAAAACGCACTGACAGCAGAGACTGCCTTGTGAACATCGAGCGAACACAATTTTTTTCTCGTCTGCCAACGCATCATGGCCCGATGCATGGCTCTCAGCTGCCATCTCGAGGCAGAGTCTGCTGCGAGGCAGTGGGACCGATCTGAGGCCATCGCGGACCGTTGGTGTGGCCCCATAGTGACTCACGTGCTTGACAGACAGTTGAGGGCGGCAATTGGATCAGCAATTTGACGAATGTGGTCAATTGGATCAGCAAGGCCGGGTGACGAAAAAAAGAGAGGAGGAAGGATGGGCAGGTCACAGACAATCCAACCCGGGTGGGGCTTCTTTTCATTGGCTCGAAATACGCGCTTTTCCAGCGAATGGAAAATCAGCATTGCGGCTTGGCCACCTCGTCGTCCCATCGGACCCCTGTGCGGATCAGCGAATCACAGCGGAGCGGCAGAGGTGGGCTCTCTGTGGTGGAGCTAATTGTGAAGATGAAGCCTCGGAGCTCTATCCTCGTATGGCTCTCATCTGCGACTCCGGGCACCACCGACAAGCCGGCCTATTTGGTGAAGGGGTTCGGATAGCCGTTTCTTTATATAAACCCCGTGGTCCTTCTTACACGCCAATAAAACACAACCATGGCGTCGGCCCTTTCCTCGCTACCGGCTGTTAGCGGTCTTCTGCTAGCGGGCGCGTTGGTCAGCGAGCCAACGGCGATTGTGTATGTAATCTCGCTGAACCCTGTAATCCTCAATCTAAGTACTCCGTATGTCGCCCTAACATAGTACGTGGTAGCGTCGCCGCCCCGAACCACCCTCTGTGGGAGGATGAGACACGCATTGTAACGTCGGAGAAGCCTGCAGGCGACACACGCTGAAGATTGGGCTGCCGGCTGGGACAGCCGAAGCTTGGCCTCGCCTTCTGGAAGGGGGCCAGCGCCAGCTGAGATGCTGCTGTGCTGGCACACCAGCAGGTGCGACGCGGATGTTTAGGGAGCGTAGCCTTCTGGCCTAGCCCTTGCTGGCGCTGGGCCCAGGCCTAGCGTCGTCCCGTGTCGCCTATGACCAGCATCTTACGACGTATGAGCTTCAACGACCGCTGTGCAAGCTGCCACGGCAAGCTTGTGCTCCGCTAACTACCCGCCACTAGCACAAGCCAGAGGTCGCTGTCGCGTCTGTACGGACAGCTCCTGCTGCCATTGCAGCTGCCATTGCAGTTGCTCCTGGCGTCGGTCACACCTGCCCTGCGTCGCATGGAGGGTCTCCACCACGTCCTGTGCGGGAAGGCGCCATTGGACGTGTCCCGCCTCGGAGCTGTCCAATGGCAGGGACGAGTCCGGGCCTCCGCCTCTCATAGGACATGGCCGTATGCAGACGCCAGGGCGCAGTCTCTGCGGGCGGGGAAGAAGGGCGCACTCGATAAACGATAACGGCATGTTTTACGAAGAATAATGGGAAAGCGGAAAAAGGATACGGGAAACGGGAAAAGCGAAAAGAGAAAAAGGAAGAAAGGAAAAAAGGAAAAAAAGAAAAAAAGGAAAAAAGGGACGGCAGGAGAAAGCATGGCGGGAGAAGAAAACCGGGAAGACGAAACAAATCAAAAGAAAACGAGAGCAATCCCGGATTAAGAAAGAAACAATCCCATACTATGTGCACAATCCCCACCACAAATGTCTCCACCACACCGCCAGAACACACCACTTGCCCTGGCCGGCCAGGTCTCCGCCACCCTTTTCGCCTGTCGGTACCGCTGTCCAGAGATATGCACTCTTGGATCTCCTCTTCTCTCACGGATGTCTAGGCCCACTTCCAACACCTCGCTAGCCTCATCCTCCGGTAGGGTTCAACTGCTCTGCCCGTCTTGGCCTGCGCCCTCTCCGGCTAAGCCTGGCCGGAGTACAGAGCACCAGCTTGTCGGCGAGGAGAGCAAGCTGACCGCCAGACTGAGCCATAGGCCAAAGGTTAAAGGCCACAGACCATACGCCATGAGCCAGAGACATCCCCAACGGCCGTCGGCATCCGCGACGACAAGGCAACGCCACGGGCCATCTCTAGCCCTCGAGATCGTCGTCTACGGAGTACGACGTATGTACTCCGTATCTCACTATGCAAAAGCCATCACCCCACCCCGGCTGCATTCACGCGGGTCCATAAAATGACAATCTGACTAGTGTCTTCTTGGAGATTCTGCCCTCTGGGCCCCCATGCTGCAATGTACAGAGAGTACTATGTAAGATACTCCGTACTCGTACCTTTTCAATCCTCCTCCACTTTTCGGAGCAACCCATGCTTCTTGATTTACACCCCCCGGCCCTTTCCCATGAAGGAAAACGGCAGTGAGGAGGGTATATACTTACTGTTCAACCCGTCCGCCTTGCGACCACCTCTCGGTGACTTCTTACCATTCTGTCGGTCTGCAGCAGCTCGTCTCCTATTCTGGCCCTCGTCCTCGACTTTCGCTTGCGAGCTCGTGCATCGGCCTTCCCGTCTTCTGCTCTTCGCAACGGTTCTACAACGCCCAGGCTGGACCTCGTGCCCGAGACTAACAAAACGCCCCCCATCCTATACCATCAGCCACTTGCCACACCCCCTTCGACGGCCACTCCTCTCTGTCGTTCTATTTCGGTGTGGGACGGAGTACTACGTCGTACCTAAACGCGCTTATTCGAAGCCCCCCCTCACTCCCATCGTCAAATACCTCTGCTCGTCCTTCCGCCTCTGGGCCGTTTTCAATTCCTCTGTCGAATTCTCTGTCCCGGCGGCAGCTTGATCCGTTTCTTCTTCCGTTCTTCTTCCTCTTCTTTCCTCCTTCTTTCTTCCCTCGCTGCCTTTCGCTTCCAGGCCTTCACGTACCTTTCCAACATCTCGGTATCCTGCCTACCTCTGGCTCGATAGCCACAGTGTATTTTTGGTTCTGTCTTTGGGTTTGTCTCATCCTTGTCTTCGAATACAAAAGGCCTCCCCCTTTTGTGTACGGTCGCCACCGGCTTGGCTCCCCTGCTGACCACTTCTGGACAGCTTCTTTTTAATTTAAAAGTAGGGTGGTATAGCGAATTCCAATCTCGCCAGGGCTGGTACTGGTGCTGCCCATGTTGATTGCACAACTACGAAGTCCTCGCTGACCATCTGCTCTAGTCAATCTACCTTGCTTTGCATTCTACCACTGGAATATGGCACGTTATTCTGGTTGATCTTGCCAGCTACTACTACCTCATGTTTACGGCTCGAGAGCACAATGGAATCCCTCAGGCCTGGTGCGAGATACCCTCCAGGATCCACTAGCGGCATTCCATCTAGAAGAACAGACACTCCCGAGAACGGTCGGCTTCCATTCGCATCCGCCTCCGGGGCCCGGCCGAACCCTTCGAGCAGACTGCCACAAACACACATTCCTTTCTCACATTCACGACAGCCGCCTAGATTACAACAGCCAGCACACTCACGCCCTCCCCTGACACATTTCAGTCCCAGCCATGGACTTCAGCAACGGGCCCATCTGGGCTCGCACGGCCAGGCCGAACCGCCGTCTCTCCTCCACCCCATCCTAGAGGCACGCGGATTGCCTCTGCAGCTGTGCCGGCCCCACCAGCTTCTGGATCAGACAGGATCGCCATTCGCCCAAATCCACACCACACGATCAACCGCCCCCCCTCAATAGATCGAGGACATCTGAGCAAGCCTCACAACAGATCGAGAGAGAACGGATCCACCTCTTCGATTCCCCTACCATTCAGCTCGGACCGTGGCTTGACGCAAAGCCCGGCAGAGCTGCGTGTTGCCAACAAGGCGGAGGTTGCGAGCTCTCACCCGGCAACCATCTACCCCGAGCTCGACAGGTATCGTCATGTTCAACCGCCGTCAGGGATAGCAGGCAACCAGAGCGGAAGACAGCATCCGGATTTCTTATTCCGGCTTGCCACCGAAGGGCTGCCTCCACCGCCGACGCCATACAGCTCCGGACCGAGCAGTCTGGCCAGCGGTATCAGTGGCAGCCCATCCACACGATTCTCTGAATCTCCTGGTCCTGGATCATACAGTCGCGATACAACACCTACCTCGATGTCGTCTTATTCCCCTGGTGTGGTAACCTCCACCCGCACCCTCGCAGCTTCCAAAGTACGTCAGAACAGCCGGGGGAGGGCTGGCAGTTTTGGCACAGAAGTGGCAGGTGATATAGGTGGTTGTGCTGGCACGTCGGCGCATCCCCTTAGCGCAATTCGTGAGTCTCTAAACTCGTCTTCCTCCTCCTCAAACGGGACCGTTCGCGATGGCGACAAGAAGAGCACGAGGCCAAAAAAGAAGAGACTTTCTCCCCTCCCACCGAGTCCACCACCACGCAAGTCATCGCAGGGATTCAGAATGCCAACCGATACAGACAAAGTTTCCCTGGCAAAGCCAACACTGCAAGAACGGCCTACAGTCGCACCACGGCCATCCGTATCAAGCCAGATTCGCAAGCCTGCCAAAGCGACTGCGTCTTCCAATCCAACCTCTCTGCCGAAACCACCCCCCTCGGGGAAGTCGCAGATCGCTACGGCATCGAGGCCGGTCCCTTCACGATCCGCAACCCAGCCTGCACCACCTACTCGTCCGAGCAGAGACGGAACACCCGATCTGCACTCGCACTTCAGATTTCCCATTCCTGTGATACACAGCAGCCTCGCCACGGCCCGGTCTTCCGACCGGCGCGGGAGCATAGGCATGGCTCTCTCATCACAAACCAGCACCACTCTTGCCAAGCGCCATCAGAGGTCAACTTCCATTCTTTCGTTTCGGGATCAACGCGCGCAATCTCCAGCGCGGCCACCTACTATTCGAGACCGGACAGCGAATCGCTCGTCCATGTCTATTTCTGGGGCCGTGCCCGGGCCCAACTCTGCATCTGGGTCTGCAAACGTCTCTGTGCGAGTGGCGCGCCAAGACTCGAGACTAAGCGACAGTGAAGATACAGGACGGAAAACCAGAACACCAAGCCCCAGTGTTTCCACTTTCCGGACGCGATTCCCTTTGTTCGGCCGGCGTACCAAACCGGCCCTCGTGGTGAACGTCACGGCAGCAGCAGAGCCGAAAGAAAAGCCGCCCAGGAGAGGACCTGCCGCCGGCACTGGCCATGAAGGCTACGGTCGTCTCGGGGCCAGCCGGCGGCGAAGCAACAGCGCGGGAACTCTGTCTAGGGGAGTTTCGGCCTCGCAGGACAACCAGGGGAACGCGCAGGTACAGGACCCTTTCCTTCGGGATCGGCTGAGTCCGGTAATCATCTCTGGGGGCGAGGTTGTGCTCAACAAAAACACAAGCCTGGAACTGAGCCGCACCGACAGCAACACGAGCTTCAGCTTCTCAAGGCCAAGTCTCGACCTGCCTAATACGTCGCAAGTGTCTCTGTCGTCGTCCGAAGATCGGTCTGCGCTTTGGCCATCAGCCATGTCCCGCGATGGCCGGCTAGCCTCGTCGCCTCAGCTCTCAAACCACCGCCCTTCCGACAGTAGTGATTCCGAAGTACTGATACGCCCAACACTTGCCTTCCGGCGGTCTGTTCAACTTCTACATGCGCCCAGCGAATCCCAGATCCATCTTCCAGCACCGATCGTTACCCGAGAGTCCCCACCTGGGGTGTCGTCTTCCGTTACCAGTCTTGATACCGGCATTCTGTCAGATGATTCTACGATTGGCTCTCGGTCAGTGATTGAGCGTGGGCTCAAAGAGTCAGTGCCTGTCAATGTCAAGGCTGCGCCAAAAAAGCTCACAAAACGAGCGAGGTCACCCCGCAAATGGAACATGTTTGGGCGTTCCCAAAGCCAGCCTGCGTCCCTGAAGAAGAGAGCCGAGTCCTCATCAACCGTCACGGTCACTGTCGAGGCCGCCTCTTCTGTACGAGAAAAGAAGCCGGTTGCATTCTATACCATGATAGATTCGTCTGAGCAAGAAGATGGCGATACGGACATGGAACACGTTCTTCGTGAGGCCCATGCCTTGCAGAGCCCAACGCCAAAGCCTTTGGATGAGCAAACTGGACTAGTTTTGGAAAACAGTACGGTTTCAAAGGAAGATTTACTGTTGCCACCGCCACCGCCGCCGTTGATCTCCATTCTGCCAGAACAGCAGATGGTCCCGCACGAAGACCAGACAATCCAGCAACCTCAACCTCAGCTGATCTCAAGCCCTCAAGCTCCGTCGGAACACGGTTCCCCAAGCACTTTCCTACAGACATCCACAGCACAATCCGAACGTCCAAGCAGGCTGCAGCAGGTTGGTCGGATACCTAAAGTCGTCAGCGCCAGACAAGAACAATCATCTCCCTGGAGCTTTTCCAGGCCGTTCAACCGGGCAAGTATACAGGTCCCGGCTTCCCTCGAGATCATTCCTCGTGCAATCTCTGCGAAAGATACTCCGTTGCTAGAAAGCTCGCTTCAAGTCAATCCCGCAAGTGACAGTACTGAATTTCTTGCCTTTCCACCACGCCATAATTCTGGAACGACGACGACCTCGAGAAGCTCGGGTGTTCTTACCTTTGCTGACTCCACAGCGATTGTACCGGACCCATCTGCTCCTCTGTACGAAGACGAGGTTTGGGACGAGTATGACGATCTTCTTGGTGAGGACGAAACGGCAAAGATTCCGCTCTCGCCAAGCTCTTCGCATGGCCTGCCGTTCCATCTCGAAGGGAGTGTACCACTGTCAGTGAAGGCAATTGCCAGGCAGATCAAGCTGGAGGACGAAGGACTGGAGTCGCCGACTGTTGTGATCCACCCACGAACCGAAGTTGCGGGCGAAGTGACGCGGCAATATGCTCGGCCTACAATTACTAGTAGCGTGTGGGGATTCGACATGGCGGCTCAGTTGCATGAAGCTATTAACGGCTGGGGTGAACCGCCATCTGGCCAGCTTCCTCCGACGCCATTTTCCGTCTCCGAATTTGTGTCCGGATATGGCGACCGAAGCAGTGGACTCAACGAAGAAGACAAGGCAGCTGGGCCACGAAGAAGCAGTGTTTCGTCCGAGCGGAGTGGGCCTCAAAAACCACGAAATTCGGACGGCAGCGTTTACAGCCAAGTATCTGAAGACAACTCTCCCACTGCACAGGTCAATTTGCGGGTCGGATCGATGACGGTCAGCAAGTGGCTTACGTTTGGACATGTCCTCTTCAGTCCTGCTCGTGATGACATGGTTCCGGCCGTGAGTCCCCCGAACGGACACTCGGTCCTCGTTGTCGACGGCCTCGGCAATGACGACTGGTCGTTTTATGCTGCTGAGACGTATCCGGCCGCAACATTTTTCAACATGTCTCCGCGAGCTCCGTTGCCTGCCGGTCATGGAAATGGGGCCACGACGTTCCCGATGAGCCCGTCCAACCATCATCAGATTCAGTACATGTCTCACGCGGACAAGTTCCCTTTTGCGTCGGAGATTTTCACGACTGTTGTCTACAGGTTTCCTCGTGCAGCTCCGGAAAGCCATTACAGAAACATCATCAGCGAAGCCCGCCGTGTATTGCAGCCGGGTGGCTACATCGAACTGTCTATCTTGGACCTCGACATGAACAATATGGGAAGCCGCACACGCCGAGCCGTACGCCAGATGAAGGAGCAGATCCATCTCCAGACACCGGATGTGCATTTGGGGTCAGCAGCCGACGCAATACTCCGACTTCTAGGAAGCAAAGGCTATACGGACATCAAATCCTGCCGTGTCGGTGTTCCAGCAGCAAAAGCGATTCCACGGTCAAGCAGCGAGATCAGCGTGAACGGCACAGCCAGACCTAGAAGTGCAGGGAAACGGAAGAAGGACAACCGCAGCCTCTCGGAAATGATTAGCGACCAGAGCCCGGTTGCCGATGAGAGCATTACGAACATGGTGGCCCGGGTTGGGCGATGGTGGCACGGCAAATGCTACGGAGACATTGCTGCTGCAGCCAAGTCTCCGTCTGGGTCGATAGACAGCAACGGGTCCGTCAAGACGGACATGTGGACGGATCGTGCCGTACTAGCCGAGTGTGAGGCGTGGGGGACGAACTTGAAGCTCATGGCTTGCTATGCGCGTGTGCCGGACACCAAAAGAGTCGCCAGTATTTGAGCCGGAAGCTGGTCAGGGGATGAACGGCAGGATACGGACGACCCGACATGACCCATCCTATTTTATAATTCTAATCACCCAGCATATATGCATACAACAAGCGACATGGGCGACAGGGCGCCAAACAAAATCAGAAACAAAGGCGCAAGCCGACAACAAGCCCAGACTGCATTTCCCCCCCGAACAGAGCAACGAGTGTATTGTCGGTATACACAGTACGGCATCTGCGAATCACTCTCTGGCCTTGCGGGACCTATTGATTGGGTATAGAGTGTATTCTGGTTTCCTTCTTCTTCTACCTGCATGATTTTTGGACAGCTAGGCCTTTTATGCTTTTGCCTTTTGCCTTCCACATTTTTCTTTCTTCCTTCTTTTTTCTTATTTTCTTTCTATGGGGGTTGTTCCCTCCTCACAATGCCGGTCCGTTGTAGGCTGAATCCTTTTATAGCGACAGGAGACGACAAGACATGGGGTGGAGAAGACGATGACATGACAAGCAGGATGATGATGGACGATATACTTGCATGACCAGGCGTTTGTTTAGCGTTTCGCGAGGTGCTTTCCTCTCTTTGCTTTCCAAGCCGATTTGAACCCTTTTTGTATTTAGTTTGGTATACAGCACAGCACAGCGCAGTACCAAAGAGATACCCCATTTGTGGCAGATGACACAGACGAATTGTGCAGCGCAAGTCCCAGCCTTGCCGAGATGTGACGACAACGCACGTAGTGATGCATTTTGTGCTTCTGATTTCCTTGCCAAAAGAGCTCCTTCCAACACCATTCCTTCTGCGAATGCTAAAAGCCAAAAATTGGATTTCCACCCGAGCGTAAATCAAACAAAACTATAATACAAGCAAGAGCAAAGCAGACTGTTATATTTGGAGCAGAATAGAGAAAGAGTAGGCAGCAGAGGCCACTTGTCCGCGCACGTTAAGAAGCGAACCGCTTTGCCCGTTCCTCGGCCTTCTTCCGTTCGACCGGGTCATCCAAGACGGCTCTCTTCTTTGGCTGGCCGCCGAAGCTGCCGTTTCCGTTTCCGTGTCCGCGAGCAGCGCTGCCACCACGGCCACCACGCCCGCCCGCACGGCCATCGCGGCCGGCTCCACTGCGGCGATCCGGCATCACACGCTTGTTGCCCCTTCCATTGTTGGTGGCGGCTGTGCCGTTGGCCGTCGTGGCCGCGCCGCCCGGTCCATCGATGCCGTCGGCGCCGCGCTTGCGCGGGCGGTCCGGCAGAGCGGCATCGAGGCCCTTGACGGCGGCCTGATCGATGCCAAATCGAGCCGCACGCTCCGTCTTCTTGGCCACGTCCGCGTCGTCGACGATGCCGAAGCGCTTGGCACGCGCGGCACGCCGCCGGGCCTCCTCGTCCGCGTCGGTGGCGGCAAGGTGCTGCGACAGGCCGGGAACGACCTCGGACTCGGCTGCTGCAGGAGCAGAAACAGAGGCAGTCGTATCTTCTGCATCGCCTGCATCGACTGCATCGGCGGCCTCACCGACTTCACCGACTTCACCGCCCACCTTGTCGTCGCTCGCAACAACAGCAGCAGCCGGCACCGCTTCCTCGGCCGTGTCGACAACAGCCGCTGCCGCCGCTGTCGTCGGCTCTGATGCTGTCGTCATCGTCGTCGTCTCGGCCTTGGCCTTGGCCTCAACAGCGGCAGCCGCAGCCGCTGGCACCTTGGCCGTCGGCTGCTCGTCGTCCCAGTCGATCTCGTCTTCGGCTGCAGCTGCAGCGGTCGTCAGCAGATAAACGCAGGTTTCACCAAACAAACACTCTTGCCCCCAACTCGACAAAAGCTCGACGAAAACGAACCTTTGGCACCGCCCTTGCTCGCCGCATCGTTCTCCTGCAGGCGCGCAATCAGGTCGGCCTTGTTGCCGTTCACCGTCAGGCCGCGCTCACTCAGCAGCTTCTTCAGCTCGGGCACCTTGAGAGAGGAATAGTCGGCCATCTTGATCGTTGTCGTCGCCGTCGTCGTCGTCGTCGTCGACAGACTTGTTGCCAAACGAGGAAGCTTGCGCAAAAGGAAGCCGGAACCGAAACAACGAGAGCTGAGACGGCCAAAAGGTGCGGCGAAGATTCAACGAGATGAGCGATCAAAAACCGATAGCGCAGCAGTGCCGGCAAGCGCAGACTCGACAAGACGAACTTGGGCGTGTTGGGAGAATAAACTTGGGTGTTGCCTCGTCTATCCTGTTTGGCCTGTGCGAAGGGACAGACGCGACCAACACAGCCCGGCTCGTGCTCCACAACACCTGCTCGCTTGCTTAGTCACCAATCACGTGGATAAAAGCATCTGTATACAGCGATATTGACTATTCCGTATATACTCGTATCCGAGTGACATTAAGTTCAACTAACCAAACAACTCCCTCTTCTCTCCGGGTATCTATCTATGAGTCGTGCTCGCCAAAGAAATAGACATACAAATACAAGGCAATGCGATAACAACAGACAAAGCAGACAAAGCAGACAAAGGAAACATACAAAAGGTCATGTGAACAAGCTTCCTCGTCTTCAATCGTAACACCCGTCTAAGCAATCTCCACCTCCGAGGCCACAAGGCCGTAGACCCAGCTGGCCACTGCCGCCGTCGAAAACTGGAAGCACCACTTGCGCACACGGCCGCTGATGGCGCCAGCCGCAGACACATGGCCGACACGGTTCTGCTCGTCGCGCATCTCCTCCCACACGTTGAGCACAATGCCGCGAGCCGCCAGCCTCGTGAAGCACGCACTGCCCACAACGACATCCAGCACAATCAGCGGTTGGATGTTTTCCTTGCGCGGAATCGACAGCACCAGCACCCGCTTCTCCAGCCCGTGGTAGATTGTCAGCTCCTGTCGCGCGCCCGGTGGTGGCCGCGCAATTGTCAGCGTGCAGTTGCCCCGGTCCTCCCACTTCTGGCCCGAGATCTGCAGGTGGCAGCGCATCTTGATGTTTGTCGTTCCCAGCGCCTGCACGCCGCGGATGCTGCCGTCTGCCAGGCTGACCGAAGGCGACCGCGGCATCGTGTGTATGCCGCTGCCCGCTGACGACGCCCCGGACGACGTGTAGAAGCTCATGCCGCCGCTGCCTGGTCGCCCTGACTTGTCTACCGACGAGCGATCAATGTTGAACGATTTGTTGACGTGTCCCGTCAGTCGCCGCAAAAAGCTCGTTGCCGACAGCGTTGACGAGCTGCCCTGTGACTGCGACTGCGACTGCACCTGTGACGGTGCCCGTGTCGATGCGCGGTAGCTGTTCTTGCGCCCGAACCATCCGCCCCGTCGGCGCATGCTGCTGTTGTCGTCGCCGCCGGCCACTCGCTCCTGCGGCTGGCCAAACGACTCGAATCGCGCCTCCTCCTCCAGCGCCTTGTACTTGGCGTTGTTCATCCGCGACTGGTGCACCGCCTTGTACAGGTTGGCCAGCTCGGCCGGAGACGACGCCCGGAACCGGAAGATGCTCGTGTCTAGGTTGCTGTACTTGGCATACGCCCTGACCGGCGACCGGATCTCAAGGTCAATCAGCGTGCTCTGCCGGATCATCACCAGCGGCGTCAGGTCCAGCGCAATCAGCGGCCGTGGCACCTCTGCACTGATTTCCACCTCCGACGACTCAGTCCGTCCGGGACTGCGCCGTGCATCTGCCACCATGGCTCCCGGCGCAAATGCCTCGATCAGCCCTGGCGTGATGACGATTGTGCTGACCGGGTCCTTTAGGCCTTTCCACGCCCCCTTCTTGTTTGACCAGTACGAGATCTCCGCCGTGAACTGCAGCGTGTGCTCGGATACACGCGACGTCCGCAGACCCGGCAGTCCTATCTGTGAGGCGGAATGCGACGGGGCAATGCTGTCTTCTCGTTCCGATGCCATGGCTTCTGCCGAGAACGGCTCCGCCTGTTTGATGCTAATGCCCGGCAGCGTGTCTGGGATGTCGTCTTCGTACAGGTCGTCCTCGATCGACGACTCCGACTCCGTCTCGGATCCTTCCGACGTCGAGTCGCTCTCGGACGAGTGGTCTGACGGATGGTATTCGTGCTTCAACGGCGACGACGTGCGACGCCGCATCCAGGGCGCCTGCGACTTCTTGCTGCTCGGCGGTGCCAGTATCGGCGCCGCTTTCGGTCCAACCGACCGGTGGGCTGGTGGCAGAGGAGGTGCCCCGTCCTCGTCCGCAATTGTCCTCTTGGAGGAAGAGCTCTTGAGCTTCGACGGATCCGGCCTCATGTCCTCGTTGAGCGGGTGGCTCGTCGGCTTCTCCGGAATCACCGGCAGTGCCCGTCGCCCCTGTGACTGTGGTGGAGATGCCAGACGTGCGCTGGACTGTGTCGGCGTCTTCTCGGCATCGGAAACGGACCTAGGCGACGACGGCGACGGCGGTGTCGATGGCGTCCGCGAGCTGGAACTCTGGCGCGAGTGGTAGCGGGATAGTGTCTTCGGCCCCGTAGGACTCTCGTGGCCGGCCTCTTGGAACCTGCGTTCGCCCAGCGGAATGTCGGCCTCCTCAGCTGCTCTTGGCATCTCCTCCGCCACGCTCATGTCGGAGAGCATCGGTGGCACCGGACTGGTGCCCATGATCTCCAACCAGTCGTCTACTGCATCGTCAAGGTCCGCATAAAGTGTCATGAGCTCGTACCATTCATGGCCATGGTAGACATCGCGGATCATGACGACCAGTGACTGCTCGTCCTCGCCCCGGCGGGCTGATATGCACGGCAGCGAGATGGGCGGGAACAGTAGCCATGACTGGCCGTCGGCCCCTGCTTCTCGGATGAGAATGTCGCCCGCGTCCGACGGGTCGCCCGGCACGTCCCGGAAGATCAGCTCGACCTGGCACTCAAGCCGCTGGCCGTTGGAGTGCGACAGGTCCAGGTCGAACCAGTCCTTGGCGTTGACCTGCCGTCCTCGGTCAATGTGTACGTGATCCAGAGCGGCCAGGTTGCGGAGACTGCGCGCTCGAGTCGTGTCCGTTGCTATCGCATCCTCGTCCGTCTTGCGAGCCGTCTCCTCGCGATGTCGTCGCCGCGCCTTCTCGTGCAGAGCTTCCAGCTGCGTCACGATGTCGCCCGCCAGCCCCGCGCCCAGGATGATCTTGACTCCCTATATTCGCCGAACCGTTAGAAATCAGAGCTTCCTCGTACACCCGGCATCTCTCGTCCGCCTTACCTTTGCAAACTTCAGCATCCATCTGATCCGCAGAAGCGGTCGCTTCAGCAGGTACGCCACGTCAACCCGCTCTCCGTTCACGTCCAGCACATCGCCGTCTTCATTTCGGTCCATGGCGTTCAGGAGCGAGTCGTTGTCGTCTTGCCTTCCCGCCGCCGGCGCCAGGTTGACAATTATGCCTTGGAAGCCCAGACGCCAAGCATCCAGATAGTCCTCGTACACGGAAAAGGCCGTCTCCATCCATTGGATCATGCGCTGCGCGTCGTGAAGCGGCACAAGCTTGTGCAGAGTTCTCAGCTCCTCGAGGACGACGCCCATGTCGACCACGGCTTTCGACATCATGTTGATCCTGTGGGCATCTGCTCCAGCTCCGAAGATCTGCGCTGACCGCTGGGGGTCTCTTTCGTGGACAAACTGCGTCAAAAGAACGGGGATGACACCGTCAACCAGAGTCTTCAGCTCTCTGCTGTAGAGATCGTCATCTTCTCCAAACTCCAGCAGGAGGTCACTTAACGTTGCATTGTCCAGCTTGCTCGTCCTCCGATGCAGACTGCGCGCCCGCTTGATGCTCTTTGCCCGCGAAAGCCGCCGCGCGTCGTCCGGCAGAGACAGCACCGACACCAGATCGGAATGCTTCGTCAGCCGTCGCTTCAGACCTGTCGACGACCGCTGGCTTCCCGCTATTGAAAAGTCGCCGGCCATCTTCGTGACCGTTGTTTGGGTAACGGTGGACTCCGAGATCGTAGACATGGTGTCCGACGGCCGGGAGCCAGACGACTCTTCCGAAAGGATCGTTGACAGCTCATGGTCCCCATGCGTTGGAGGTGGCGGCCGTCGCACATAGTCCGAGTAATGCATGTCCGAACCGAGATAGCTGCTGCTGAGCTCACTCTCGGCAATGCTGGATGCGTCTGCGGATGAGGATGATAGCAAAGCGCTGCTCTTGCCCGAGCCAGCAGAAATCTTCCGGTGGTGGTCTCGTCGTTCTGACCCCGATTTATACGTACTGTAGCTGTCAGAGCTACGGTCGTCCCTGTATCGATCTGACTCTGCATCATGGTCTCGCCCGCGGCTAGAAGATCCGCGGCTGCCGTTCGAACTTGGCGCCGCATGTCCTCCACTTTCACCACGCAGTGTGTCACGACGTAGATCGCGCGTGGGCTTCTTTGCACTTGTGGCCCTCACCGAAGATGCCGAGCCTCGTGTGGCTCTGCTCCGTCGCAGACCAGGACTACTAGACCGTGCATCCAGCGTAGCGGCTGCTGGTATCGCGGCTGTCATCATAGGCTCCTCGACCACACGTTCTTTCTTGGGCACTGGCGCCGGTGCCTTCTTCTCCATGTCTTTCATTTTTGTCGAGCTTGTTCGCCCATGGTCCCCGTTGTCACGCAGTATGTTGTTGGGCATCGAAGGGGATCGCTCGCGACTGCGCGTCCGTGGCTCTGGGATCGATCGCTTCCGCGCATCCATCTTCCACTCGTCTTCCACCGACTGCTGCTTCTGGATGGGCGAGACCTTCGGCGCCGGTAACGCATCGACAAAAGGATCCACGGTGTTCTCCAGCCAGTTCTCGATCCGGACAGGCCGGTTTGGTGCCGCACGAGGTGGCTCTGGCTTCTCGTATACCTCGTGGATCATTTTCTTTCCCTCGCTGACCACCTTTTTCAGTACTTGCGGGACACCCTTGAAGCTCGTTCCCCGGGCATTGCTTGGTCGTGATCTTCCACCTTCCCCACGAACGGGTAGATCAAGCTCGCTAAAAGCCGAGAGGCCCACCGGGATATCGGCCAAGGTCTTTGAAGGCAACGTTGACGGCTCGGATAATTCACCCAGTGAAACATTTGACGGGGATTGAGAGTTGACAGACTCTTCGTGGTCCTGCCACGATTCAGTAAGCGTCGTAGCTGTTTCTGTGCGAGTCTCCGCAGGACTAGGACTACGCCTTGGTTTGCTTTTTGGCTGCGCCTTTCGTATCGAGGGACTTCTTTTTGGGTGTGGTATCCGCGTGGGTGTTTGACTACCTGGCCTCTTGTTTTCATCGACACGCCTGCTTTGATCTTCATACGAGCGACTCTCACGTAGCTTTGTGCCCTTCTCCGGCGTGCTGTTCTTCTTCTTTTCGAAACGGTGCAGACTATCGGTTGACGACCCGCCAAGGCGCGTGCTTCGTGCTGGTGCACTTCGTGCAGTGTAGGTTGACTCTGTTGGGGCAACAGACTGACTTGGAGAGGAGGTCTTGACCGATGGGGTTCGGGGCGCAGGACCCTTGTTTCGTAGTTCCAGTGGTCGGACTCTGATGCCGTCATTTGGAAGCGAGGTTTTTAAGGGCCGTACTCGGATCCCGTCATCGGGACTCGATGGCTTCAGGGGCCGGACTTTGATTCCGTCATCAGGACTCGAGGGCTTCAGAGGCCGCACCCGAATGCCGTCGTCGACGACTATCTTTTTCGGCCCAGACCGTCGTCTCGCCTCGCGTTCAATCTGCGCCTGCCTGACCTCAGCGGATCTTGTCGACCGAACGGGGCGGGCACGAAAGCCGTCTTCAGGAGCACTGCGGGAGCTTGAAGGTCTAGCTGTATCTTGCGAGGATTGCCTATTGCTCTTTTCCCGAGAGACTCTCCTCTCCTTGTTCCGGGTGTATTTGGCCGGTGGTGTCTCGGGAATCTCCACCCTTGTGGCCCAGTCCTTGATTTTGTTCTTGACAGTCGGGTTCTGGGCGGTGCGCTGAAGAAAGTCCTTTGGTATAGGGACTGGACGGCCGAGGTCTGGCTTCGTCCTTGCGCCGGTGAATTTGGGAGAGGGGCTGGTTCTTTTTTTGCGTTTCATCCAGTTGTCGTCGCTAACGATTCTTCGCTTTGGAGGACTTGTAACTTTGGGACGGCCGCGCGGGCCCGGCCTCGCCTTTGGGGGTTGTAGAGGTTCAATGGGCTTGGCAGCATCCTCTGGGTCGTCGTCCCAATCATCCTCATCATCTTCCTCGGGTGCTATCTTCTTGTCATCAGGCGCGCGAGGTTGTTTTTCCTTTTTGCGAGCTTTGATACGGACGCGATCAGACTCGGTAACGCTGCGTTCCTCTTCTTTGAAAGCAATCTCGGTTGGTTCACTGGGATCTATCTCAGGATTTCCGCCTTCCACCAATGCAACGGCAGTTTTCTTCTGCCAGTTTTTGACACGGTCCCGGACGCCACCTGGCTGTTGTATCCTGCGGACGGAAGACTGACGCATGGCGGTCCGCAATTCCGCCTTAACAGCGGCGGCATCTAGTGTTTTTCTCCGGCTGGCAGCAACACGAGCTTGTGACTGGCGGCCCAAAAGGAAGTCCGTGAGCAGGGTAGGCTGAACTCGTGCCGGTTGTGACAGACGGCGTTGCCTGGCTCCAACGGACCCCGTCGCTGCTGGCGCGCTCTTAGGCGTCTGACCAGCAGATGCCTTCTGAGTTGGTGTCACCGGAGTATCCTCTGGTGCAGCTGATGCCGTGGCCGTTTCCGCGGCCGTTTCCGTAGCCGTTGGCGTATCTGTTGACGTAGGCGCGGCATTGTCGGCATCTGGCTTCGCCGCAGACGTGGTTGGAGCAGGCCTCGTGGTTGAAACAGAGGAATCGGATGTGGAGCCACCGTCGTCGGACGCCTCTTTGGTGGAAGTCATGGTCTGAACATACAAAGAACAGGTAGGGTTAGCTACATTCCATTCTTCCTTTTGCTAGGCTGCATGTGCCAGCTATGGAATGTGGCATTGCAGAGGATAGTGTGAAGGTGATGGCAATCATTGGGGCAATCCATATTAAGGTTTGTAGGAAGGTTATGATCGACAAAGAACGGCAATGGCCGTCAGCAACTTTCTGGAGAAACAAGACGCTGTGGCCGCGATGTGACAAATGCGTTCATCGCGTCCACGTCCAGTCTGACAGAAGCAAATGGCATGGCGACGGGGGAAAGTTAGGTAAAGCTAAGCAGTATGTAACACGTACCTGGACGGCTCTAATGCAGGTTGCCGATGGGCTCGGCACGGAAGAGCGCTGCACAACAGAAGAGTCGGTCGATCAGGGCTGCGGAGAAATGGTGAAAACCATGGCAGCATTGACGAAGGGACGAATTGAGCTACGTATGGTGCGGCATGAGCCGGGCGAACCGAGAACAATGGTATCCAGATGGGCGCGTGAGGGACAATGGACCGATGGCTCAAAGGGCAGAGGCCGGCCGAGCAGACCGCCAATGTCTGTATACCCGTATTCGTATGGGACTGGAGAGCGTTGTGGCGGGAGTTGGGAGGGAATACAAGAATCGTTGGCTGGATTGAGAAAATGCAGCACGACAAGAAGAGAAGGAGCAGAAATAAAAGGAGAGACAAGAATTTGGGGGCGCGAGGCGCGAAACGAGAGGCAGGAGGTGAGAGGCGAGATTAGAAGAGAAAAAAAGGAAAGTAGGAGGGGGAAAAGAAGATTGACGATGTCAGAGGGTAGAGCTGTAATTTCAGAGCTACAGCAATGCAGTGGCCCATTCAGCCTCGCAGCTTCTGTTTTTGCCAGTAACAGGGTGGGAAGGAGCAAGAGGGCAAGAGACAAAGGCTTTCTTTCAGCAAGGTGATGGCAACCAAGGTCAGAAAAGCGGTGGAGTGGCCAATGGGAGCAGTGCCTGGGCGAAGAGTAAACAATGGCGATGCAGACAGCAACGTGCGATGGGGCTAGTATGTAGCAGCAGGCGCTAGCAGATGTGGACTATCGCACGCCGCCAGCTCCCGCGGCGAGGAAAGGCACTGCATAAATTACGTGTTATGTACGGGTACGGAGCAACTGCGTGCGAGCTGGTGAGCTGGTGGGAGTGGGGCAACAGCTGCAACGGGGTCCTACAGCGAATCAGTGGCTGCCCGGCAACCGACGGTCCAATTAGATTCTACCGGCGTCCCGTATTAGATTGTTCGGCGAGCGGCCAAGCAGGACGATTAGAGACGCGCCTGCATAAACAGGTAATGGACACCATAGGTCTCCTGATGGGCGGGCGAAAAAGGATTGCGTCGTAATCAGCTGTGCTAGCTTACAAGTTGGGTAAACGATCCGGAGCGCTGAACTGCATGTCGAGTCGGTATGGAGTAGACTTATTATCAGACCTCCGAACAAGATAAAGGATTGTGCAGTGGCGTGCTAAATACACCTCTAGTCCAAAAATATGGAACCAGTAACCCCGCCAACGGGATTTTAGGGCATTAATACAAAAGGATACATTTGCATTAACAGCACGTACTGCGTTTGCAAGCCTTTCTAGGCCTTGAAAAATGTATTCATGTTAAAGAGCAGGTATTTTTCTCTAATATTTAGTATACCAGCCGCGCGCTTTTCGTACTACGGCTAGCCGTTAGGGCAGCGAATTAATAAGCCTGTTAATAAAGGCCTAGTTAATTGCCTACTAATAGTTACAAATTGCTCGCTTAAAAACCTTTATATTCATTGCGTTTTTCTTTAATTCTTATATATTAGGGTATTTTTTAGCTAAAAAACGCTTTAATTTAGCTTAAATATGTTTAATTAGGTTTAAATCTAGGCTGTAGGCAAGCTAGAAAGGTAGCATTTTAATTTAGTTATTTATAAGCTATTACATTAATAATATAAATATATATACCCTTGCATTATCTTGCTAGTAATACTAAAAACTATTATAAAAAGGTAGAAGGCCCTTTATTAATGCTTTCTAGTAGCTTTACAAAGTATAGCTACCTTTTTTGCCTTTAAAGTAGTCTTTCTTTATTAAGATTAACTTTATACAGCCTTCTTTTTAGATCTTACCTTAAAACATTAACAAAATTATAGGGTTTCTATATAATTAAACGTTTACTAAGTCTTTTTGTATTTTTATACAAATGTTTAAAAAATAAAACTAACGCTGTGTTAAAGGTGTACTTGGGTAGGCCAGGTAAGTCAGGCAGGCAAGGAGGTATCTTCTTAACAGGAGGAAGCAGCCGTATATTCAATAGCTAATTCTTGCCTTCTGCACTCTAAGGGAGTGCGGGAGGCACTCTTTATCGTAGGCGCACCTCTGGCGCACCAAGTGCGTAGGACAGGCGCGACCCCGTTTCTACTTGGCCCGTGCGCTAGCACGTGCTGTGGCCTGTGCGCAGACTGCGCCACGCAGCCTGCGCCACCAGCACCGCTTCTAGTTCACGATGTGCATCTAATACGCTGTGCGCATACTGCGTACGGCTTGCGCGTAGCCTGCGTCGGTCCCCTTCCTGGGGCGGCGTTACAATTGCTCCCCTCCTGTGCCTGACTCCCCTAAGGCAGGTCTTAACGAAAGGCTTGCAACCTTTGTTCCTGGTGGTGGTGGTGCTTGTCCGTTTGCGGCGGCCCCTTTGTGCTTGCTAAGATCGCTGTTAAAGGCAACTTAAGGCGCTTTTAGTTCTCTTTATTTGAGAGGTTAGTCTTATAGTTAAATTAGATTATCGTAGGGTCTAGCATCCGGTCACTTCTTCTAGAAACAACAAATTCGTCTTCTAGCAGCAACATAGCTGCTCTTAATTCTAACGTTCTTGTGCCTGCGGTGAGCGCCTTTAGCGCTCTAGTACCCGCTGCGGCCCTGGCCTCTGCTCCCCGGCACCCTCTGCCCTCTGGCCAAGGTGCTAGTTCCGGCCGCGCGCAACGTGCGCGCGGGGCTTATGCTGGCACAGTTCGTCGTTCGGCGCGGACTGCGGCGCGCGCCGTGCCCCTAGTTAGGCCTTTGGTGGCCCGTTAAGGTGCAAGAGCTGCCCTCGCTGGTCCGGCGCTTCTAGGGTCGGTGGCGGCTGCGCTACTAGCTTACCTCTAAGTTGCCTTAGACGGCTTGTTATGCGTGCGGTGCCTGCACCGCTTTCTAACGACTCTCCTTACAGAGTTGCCTAGGTTCGCGGCCGTGCCGTGTATTTACAGCGTCGCTAGCGCTAGGCGCTGCAACGGCTACCGTGCTAACAAGCACGAGTATTGCGGGGTAAGTCTCTTTTAGTGGCTATAGGCTGCTCTAGTGGCTAATAGAATGCAGGTTTTCCCGCTAATAGTTAGCAACTAGGCTAACTTTAAGATGGTGCTGCGCGGCCTTAACAAGAAGCTTTACAGCTAGGGTTTTCCTATAGTGCGCGCGGCACTTGCGCGTGCTGTAGGTGCTTTTATTGCTACCTTGTTATAGGTAGATAAGTAGTAGCGGCCTACGTTGCTAGGGGTGTTGTTAGCTGCTAACGTTATGTAGGCGGAGCTTAATTTTTGCTAGGGCATTAAGGCCTAGAAGGAAGCTTAAGAGGTAGCCTACTAGGTAGAGGCTTAGCAAGCTTTATTAGCCTAAATGTACTTGCTATTGCTGTATACGCTCTTTTTGTCTTTACTGCCTAGGCTTGCTACTTTAACCTTTTAGCAGCTCTCTTAGCTACTGCGCCTAATGCCTAGTAACACTAGTTATGCTGCCCTTACTACAGCCTTTAATGCTTTTCTTAAGGCGGTGGTAAGGGCGTATATTATAGATAAGGCTTATGCTAGGGTAGCGGCTAGCGTAGCGTTACTTTAGAGGCTTTTTAGATAGTTTTACGTAGTCTCTTATAAGGCCTTTTAGCTAGTTAAATTAATTTAGGCTCTTGCCTATATATTTTCGTCTTTACGCGCTTGCTGCGCGTATACTGCTTAATTGCTGCGTACGTATTTTCTATATCTTTTTCTAGCACTTACTAGTTATATTTAGTTAGCTAGCTTATCTAACATACTAGGTATTTAGTCTAGCCGGCCTTGCGTCTTTTGTCTAAAACTGTTTCTATTTCTTATTTATTGTCTAGGTTTTCTAACGTTAGCATTGTTAAAAGCGCTTGTTCTACGCTTACCTTGCTCTTTTAGTGCTTTAATAGCAAGACTAAGAAAACGTTGTGTAGTTAGCTATATTGTTTTAGTAGTGCTAGTTAATATGCTTGTTTACCTATAGTCCTAAGGATTCTAAAGGGCTTAATGCGTCTTAGTGCTAACTTCTTTATTTTTTTAAGCAAAGGTTTTTTATAGAAAAGCTTACTAGCTCTTTTACTGTAAAGCTTATAGGCTAGTAGCGTGTATTATAATAACGCTTTTAGCGCTTTATCGCATGCTTCTAGTTTGCCGCTAACCTTTTCTATATAGCTTTTAGTTTTTCTAAGCGGTTGTGCACTGCTAGGATTATGTTGCGCGTGTCTTGCTCCTCTTTTGCAGTTGCGCCGCCTTTAAGGCAAGTTTGTAGGTTTGGTTTTTAACTATATAGCGCTTCAAATAGGCTAATTTTAGTTGTTGCGTTAATAGCGTTGTTGCAGGCGTATTGCGCTAAAGATAACAAAGAGGGCTAATTTAATTACTCCTTTATTATAAAGCAGCGTAAGTACTACTCTAACGTCTAGTTAGATCTTTTTGTCTACTTATCTATCTAAGGGTAAAATATAGTTAATAGCCGCCTATAGATTCTAGTTTAATAGCAATATTTACTCTAGAATTCGCTAGTAAATATACTTTCTTAGTTAAAGACTATACCCTCTAGTGTTATACTATACACTAGTTCTATATATTAGTGTATAAAGTATATAAGGCCTTTAGCCGTTAGGGTAGTTTGTATAGCAAAGAAAAGGTTTATTTTTATAAAGCAGTCAACGATTACTAGAATTGCATTTACTTTGCCGCCTATGCTTACTTTAGCTACTAGTAGCCTAGTAATTAAGTTTATAAAGATTTCCTACTAAGGACCCTATAGTAGTGGTAGCAGGTTTAGCTTACTATATTGCACATGCCGTTTAATCGTCTATCTCTAGCAAACTAGGCACAAGGTAATGTAAGCCTTTACATCCTTCTTTATTTCTTTCTAGTAGAAGTAGCGATAAAGTAGTTCTAAGGTCTTAGCAACTATAAAGTGCCTAAAGATCTAGTTGTTATAATAGAGCTATAGCAGCTTTTAATAAAGGACGT